AAACCACTTAACCCCTTGGGCTCCTTATTCCCTTCAACCAAGAGCAACTACCATCCTTTTCATTTCTTTTTTCTTTTTTGAGACAAGGTCTCACTCTGTCACCCAGGCTAGAGTGTAGTGGCATGATCTCGGCTCACTGAAGTCTCTGCCTACGGGGTTTAAGCAATTATCCCACCTCAGCCTTTGGAGTAGCTGGGACTACAGGCATATGCCACCACGGCCGGTTAATTTTTGTATTTTTTGTTAGAAATGGGATTTCACCATGTTGGCCAGACTGGCCTCAAAATCTTGACCTCAAGTGATCCGCCTACCTTGGCCTCTCAAAGTGCTGGGATTACAGAAATGAGCCAACACGCCCAGACAGAAATGTTAAAATTTTTTAAAAATTATTTTAGTGCCAATTTAAATCTAAAAAGCGTAACCTAAGCAGACTCTCTATCATCTGGTTGACATCCTTATAATCAACTATTGTGGAGTGGTTCCAGTTTCCAAGGAAACTACTGTTTATTATCGTATCAGTGACAAATGACTTCCCTAATAATAAATTTTACCTTTTAATGCTGCATTTTTTAACTAGTTCCCATCTCTCTCAGGAGTTAGAAGATATATTTTCAGATGTATTATAAAAATTAGTTTTTGTCTAAATAAGTTTTTTACATAACTCAGCTGAAGAAACCCTGGCCTAAAAGATGAAGTTCAGCTTTCTTGGACTTTTTTTCTTTTCTTTTTTTTTTCTTTTTTTTTTGAGATGGAGTCTTGCTGACTCTGTCGCCCAGGCTGGAGTGCAGTGGTACTATCTCAGCTCACTGCAACCTCTGCCTTCCGGGTTCAAGTGATTCTCCTGCCTCAGCCTCCCGAGTAGCTGGAGCTACAGGCACCCGCCACCACACCTGGCTAGTTTTTGTATTTTTAGTAGAGACAGGGTTTCACCATATTGGCCAGGCTGGTCTTGAACCCCCGACCTTGTTATCCACCCACCTCGGCCTCCTGAAGTGCTGGGATTACAAGTGTGAGCCACTGTGTCTGGCTTCCTTGGACTTTTTATCTGCACTGAAGGCACTCAGTGGTCCAGACCACCTACTTCTGCTCTACCTTTGGATATCCTGGCCATGTGCCACCCCTCAGCCTGACCACAACACCTGCAGTGCCCCAAACACACCATGCAGTTTCATGCCTTTACACCCATTTCCTCTCCCTAGTCAACACACCTGGGTGACCCCTATTCTACCCACTCAGACAGGATAGGCTCCATGACCTTTCTGCAACTCTATTTTTCTCATCTAGAAATAGAGTTAATGACATCTACTTCTCTAGCAGATGTTTAGGAATGAGATACGGTGTGGAGAGCACCTGGTAGGAACACAGCGCATATCTGTGATAGTGACTGTTAGCCGTTATCCTCATCACCACATCCTTTCCCCACACCTCAGATAGTGTCATAGTCTACCACCTCAGAGAGAAAATAGAAAAGGGAGGTCCCAAACTTCCTGCTCCATCACCTACACCTGCCCCTCCTGATCTGTTTCCTCTGATTTCAACAAGCAGGTGTTCTTTCTCCTGTCTCAGGCTAATTCTGCAACCACATTGGGGAGACCCCCACCCCAGCTTCCCTCGGGCTTCTCTATTTGGCCAATTCATTAATTCATTCATTCGACAAGGATCCATGAACGCTAACTATGTGCCAGTCACTATTCCAGGTGGTGGAGTCATAGAAGTGAACAAAACAGAAAGTTCTCATTCAAAAACAACACAACTTGTGGTAGGAGGCAGACAGGAAACAAAATAAGTAGTAATATATATGATGTGTTGGATGATGATAAGTGCTCAGCAGAGAAATAAACCTGGAATAGCAGAACTAGCATTTCTTTCCAAAGGGGTCTTTTTCTGTTGTTCAGGCTAGAGTGCATTGGAGTGATCATAGCTCACTGCAGCCTAATTTTTTTGAAAGACAGGGATCTTGCTATGCATATTGCCCAGATTCTTGAATTCCTGGCTTCATGCAATTCTCCTCCCTTGATCTTTCAAGGCCCTGTGATTATATGTGTAAACCCTCGTGCCCAGTTGGAAGTTACAGTTTAAAATAGGGTGGTTACAAGCAAGGGGAGCGAGGCACAGAATACCTGGGAGAAAAGCATTCCAAGTTGAGAGAACAGCAGTGCCAGAGCACAGAGTCAGAAGCACTGTGGTATATGTGAAGAATAGCAATGAGGCTGGGGTGGCCGGAGCACACAGGGTGACCAGGAGAATAGGAGGTGACAAAGCCAGAAGGGGTTGAGGGCCAGATCACATATGGCCTTGAAAGTCATCATGCTGACCTGGGCTTTACCTCTGAGAGGGGAGTCACTGGAAGGTTAGAGCAGATAAAGGACTGGACTTACTTAGGTTTTAAGAAGTTACTTCACATGCTAGACTGATATGGGCTGTGGGTAGGGCTGGTGGATGGAGGCCTGAAGACCCAGCTGGGAGCTACTGCAGTGATCCAGGGGAAAGATGCAGATGACTTGTACCAGGGAGGAGCCATGAAAATGTTATGATGCTGGATTTATTTTCAAGACAGAATAAAAAGACTTTGCTGATAAATTTATGGGTGGGGTGTGAAAAAGAAGGGCATCAAGGGTGACCACAAGGTTTTGGTCCAAAGAAACTGTACAGATGGAGTTGCCACTTACTGAGATGGGGAAAATGAGGGAGAAGCCAGTTGTGGAGGCCAGGGCAGGAGCCAGCACAGAATCCAAAGGTCACTTTTGGATATGTTCGGGTGGAGGAGCGTACTAGAGATCGCTGCAGAGATGTAGAGTAGGCCGGTCAATAGTAAGTGTGCAGTCCAGGCAATGGGTCAGGGCTGGAAACACAAGTTATTCTCTTTATATTCGTGTTTGTTGCCACTGCCTGTTTCACTTACCTAATGCATCAGTGATTTATTGCTGCATAACAAATTACCACAAACTTAGTGGTTTAAAACAGCATACTTCTCCAGCCTGGCCAACATGACAAAACCCCATCTCTACTAAAAACGCAAAAAATAAAAGATAAGAAATTAGCCTAGCATGGTGGCACACACCTATAATCCCATTTACTTGGTAGGCTGAGGCACAAGAATCTCTTGAACCCAGGAAGCAGTGGTTGCAGTGAGCCAAGATTGTGCCACTGCACTCCAGCCTGGTCAATAGAGCAAGACTCTGTCTCAAAAATAAATAAATAATAGTACACTTTCATCACTTCAGTTTCTGTGGGTCAGAAGTCCAGGCAGAGCTTAGTGGGCTTCTCTAATCAGAACTTCACAAAGCAAAAGTCAAGGTGTTGGTCAGGCTATAGCCTCATCTAGAGTCTTGACTATAGGAAAATCCTTTTTCCAGAAAACTCAGGTTGTTGACAGAATTTATTTATTTACAGTTGTGGGACTGAGGGCCCCAACTCCCTGCAGTTTGGGGCTGGAGGCTGCTCTCAGCTCCTACAGGCCTTCTTAGCTCCCTGCTGTGTGCATCTCCCAGGATGACTACTTTCCTATTCAAAGCCAGCCAGGAAGACAGAGCCTCTGGAGTGGGTCAGCTAGCAAGACAGTCTTACACATCATAATGCAATCATGGAAGGGACATCCCATCAGCTTTACCATATTTTATTGGTTAACAGCAAGCCATAAAAATTGTTCCTGCCAGGTAGAATAACTTTCCAGCCATCAAATCCAGTATACACACTGTCCTTTCTCCATCGACCTGAGTAAATCTTCCTGCCTATTTGGCATCTGCTTCATCAGTCCCCAGGGTCCTCTTTTGGTCTTTCCCTATTCACGGATACTCCTCAGAATTCTTGCTCTACTTGCTTCATAACTGCTGATATTCCTTTACGCTTTGGTCCCAGGGTGGGCTACTGTACCTCCAGGTCCAAAGTCTATGTTCTAGGCAAGAGGAAGAAGGAAGTAGGGAGAGTGTACCCTCACACTCCCAGCTATTTTGGCCTCCCTTTGAAGGATTTCTGGGAGAAGTGCAAGCCCACAACTTTCACCTACAAACCATTGGCTCCAACTTAGTCCCTTGGCCTCCCCTATCTACAAGGGGGAAGAGCAGGTTGCAGCACCCAAGAAAATTAGGCCTTATCACTAAGAAGAAGGCAGCATGCACGCTGCAGAAGCAACCAGCCATCTCAAGCAGATACCACACAGCCTAAATTCAAACTGTTGCAATATAATCAAATCCCATCAGCTCCAGTCACATATTAGCCCTAGGAGCTTTCTGGCTTGCAACCCAAAAAAGTGTGTTTTGAGGTCCTAAGCCACAGGGAGAACCAGATTGTCCTATAAACTCCTTACAAGATGGTGTAAAGGAAATGAGCCTTACGGAGACCACAGCCTAGGGAGTGTCTAGCTTCAGAGAATATGTACTCCACTGGGAGCATGAGAAACAAATACACAAGAAAATACAATATAGCATAAACCAGGAGCTGAGGGTGAATGAAGATGCTCAGAAAGATCTGCATTAAGAATTTCCTGGGAAAGGTAAAACAATGTCAAGCAGTACTGCCTCTGGAAATCAGAAAAACTATATTATTTGATAACATATCCTAAGCCTAAATGCCAGAGGTTCTTAAAGAGGTGCAGTTTGTCTCATTTTCTTTCCATTCGTACCTTTATTTGGCTCTGTAAAAAAGATCCTCCTCTTCTACATACCTATCTACATGCAAGCAAACTGCTACAGAAGCATTTTAATTAGTGTACATCTTCCTCTCTTTGCACGTTTAATTTTTTTTATTTTCCTACTCCATTCTGCTAATATTTCTATCATGATATAAAAGACACAAGACAGGTGAATATAAAGAAATACTTATATACATCCACACACAAGAACGATTCAAATAGATAAACACAAAAACACAAACACTAAGGGAGATAGGGCTGGAGTTTTTCTTCAACATGTACAATTCAATGTACTTTCAGTTTTCATTTCAACCTTCCTCAGTGGCTTCTGCCCAGCAACTGATGAGAAACATCACCTCTGAGCCAATCAAAAAACTATTTCTTCCAAAGAGCCACTCTGTTACTGTTTCTCATGGTTAGAAGACAATATTTGCTTTCTCTTTGTCATTTCTTCCGGATGAAAGGCTAAGCCGTAATAGAAAGAATGGAGAACTATTGATTGACCATCTTTATTCTGTGGGCTCTGATTCTCCCATGGGAACACCAAGGGGTAAGTGCGGGAAATGGTTTAAAGCCTGGGCTACAACGCCTGGGAGGAGTGGGGCTGAATCGCTGAGAGTGGTGAGTGGGCATGCAGGGAGAGTACTCGCCCAGAGAAACGGGTGCGGTGCCTCTGTGTGTGTGTGTGTGTGTGTGTGTGTGTACATGCACACACCTGCACATGCACATATGGGCACATGGGAAGACAGGAGAAGTACTGCAAAGAATAAGAAACTGCAGAGGTTGGGATTTAGTGGAAGGAAAGGGAGACAACATGAATGAAGAAATATTCCAACTGCATCTTCTTAACGTATTGTGGTCAGATAGGGAAAAAAAAAAACCCTTAAAATCTGTTCTGGTCAACTCAAGGCATCTATTCTAAGAGATTCTGAAGAAGGAAAAAAAAAGAGAAGTACCTTATAGATTTACATGTAAATGTGTTTATTACAGAAGTATTTATAATATAGTAAAATCTGAACCAACATTCATATACAACAGGTGGGGAATAGACAATGCATGGTTCAGTCATAAAATATGTTCCATGTAACCATTAGGAGTCATAATTTTAATTAAGTGAAATTCTTTATAATTTTAATAACACTGGATCCTTATATTAAACCATTTTTGGTATCTTTTAGGGATAGTACTTGGTTTTCTTTCCATTCATAATTTCCCCAAAACCTAAAGTATGCTTTCCCATACAAGCTACTACATTGTATGAATATATAATAATTGAGAGTCTCTCTGAGCCTACTCTGACTCAGAAAGCTGCTCCTAAAGAAGAAAAAGAACAAACAAACAAACAAAAACCCCAATTGTTTTTTAAACTCTTTCTTTATTTTGGATTTTTGAGGTTCTGCATTTTGTTACTGTAGATTTTACTAGATTGAACAGCCTTAACCTTAAATATTTGCATCAATCTCTAAATTTTTTTCTTCAATGCTAACTTTTATAATTGGAATTTTGAGGGCAAAAGATGCAACATTTTAAAAGCCCTTGCCATGTATATATGGCCAAATGCTTCCAGAAACATTTCCACTTCCATTAGCAAAGTATATGATTATAACTACAGAGTATTTAAGGTTTTATTCCTTTTATATTTTTTTCATTGGCAAAATTGTCTATAGTAGAAAGAATGAATAATAAATAACCTAAAATTAAAAGTTCTCCCTCTGAGGACAGCAGAGAAATTTTTAGTTTAGGGACTAATAATAATAATACCTCCTTTTCTTTAGGAGCATAAAGAGCAGTTTTGAGAAGCAGAAGATGTGGTGAAATATAATGTTTAGTCTGATAGTGGGTGTAAGATCCAGGCAGGGGTGGAGCATGACCAGCTGCACAGACCTCTGTTCCCTTGCTTCCTCTGCATCTGTCCCCACCTGCCTCTGCAGATCTTGTTCTCAGAGGCCATTCCCAGACCCACAGCAGCTGGTATTATGGCTACAGGCCTCATGCTCCTTTGTTTTGGGAGAAACTCTTGAAGAGTTAGTATTTATTGAGCAACTAATATGTTCCAGTCTCTATTATTCCTCATAATAATTATTAATTATTAACTAATACATGAAAAATTTAAATTTAAAGCATTCCAACAATTTTAAAAGTAAAGGAAGCAAAAGGCCAAAGTGTCCTTTCACTCACTTAACCTCCAATCTTCAGTTTAGCATTCCTCTTTTTAGGCTTTTTCAGGCATTTACATATATAGTTTTGCAGAAATATATAGCTTTGCTTTTGTTTTTCAATTGAATCATTAGTATAGTTCTACAAGGTACTTTTTGATCACTTAGTATATCTCCATTGTCCAGGCTAGTGACATTAAATCACTCTTTTTAACTGCTGCATTGAATTTCCTCGTAGGGATGTATCATATCCCTATGATATGTGGAAGACAGGCAGATGTATCATACATCTGTATCATAGGGATTCCTCTAACCAGTCTCTTGTGGGTGACTGGTTCAGTTGGTAACCACTTTCATACTTTAAAAATAGTGCTGCAGCGTCATTCTCGCAGAGGCTTCTCTCTGCACCCATGCAAGTACTTTGATGCAGTAGGCATCAGGAAGTGGAATTTTTGGGCCAATTGTGCACATTCTAAGTCTCATACTTGATATTTTTGAGTAACTACAGTTTAAATGGTTTTGTCCCACGACCAAGATCATCAAGCTTGTGACTTCTAGAGCCTTTACCTATTGTCTACCCTCTTTGTGTCCCTAACTCTACCATAGTGGTCCAGCCCATTGTGGGTGCTCAGTAAATATTTGTTGAATAACTTTATGAAGGGAAGAAAGAAAAGATGAGTAAGGTCTGGTCCTATTCAAAGCTCTCCCAATCAATGTCTTTGTGATTAAATGTGGTGGGTTCAGCCCCTGAATGACTTCAGAGCCTCCACCAGGCAATCTGCCTGGATCCCACCAGGAGCCACCAGGCCATGAGTTGACGATGATAATGGCCAAGAGTTTGACCCTTGAGGAGTCCACAGTGTTGGACACCCATAGAGTTGAACAAGGGTGGAACCAGGGAATCCAGTGAAGAGGGTCCTTCATAAATCAGAGGGGGATGATGGAAGCTTGGACCTAGCAAGGGAAGTGTGGGGAAGTGATAGGATTCTGAATATTTTAATGCAGTAGAGTCAGAGATTTCCTGATCAGATAACAGATATTGCTTTTACAGATGGTTTTCCATACTGGAACTCAAAGGTAAAGACATTCAAGGACAGACATTTTTGGCACAGGTAAGATCTTCTTCGGTTACCATACTTGAGTTAGCCCTGGGGAAGTGGACGTTTCCACGCAGAATCCTATAGCTTCTTCCAGGCCACAGTGTCTGTCTCACACCTTCTGGTGTCTCTTGATATGCAGCATAGATGAAAATGGCAAGTTCCCTGGCCTTCCTTCTGCTCAACTTTCATGTCTCCTTCTTCTTGGTCCAGCTGCTCACTCCTTGCTCAGGTAGGGAACGATTCCATGATTCCACATTTATGTTTATGAAGTAGATGATTACCTCAGTTATATAATTAAGCAGACAATTACCTAAATGCCCTCTTAGAACCTTTAACTCCTTCCTATACCTGAAGTCCATCCCAACCTGAAGGATCATGTGTCACTAAGAGACAAATGGTGCTTCTGTTAGGAATGGTTTCCCCTCTAGGTTCTCTGTATCTAGCCTTCCCTGTCTGAGAAGCACCCTTCCTCTCATGACCCCAAATCCAAAACCCTCTGATGGAGCCTCCCCCTTGTGCCAATAGCTCAGTTTTCTGTGCTTGGACCCTCTGGGCCCATCCTGGCCATGGTGGGTGAAGACGCTGATCTGCCCTGTCACCTGTTCCCAACCATGAGTGCAGAGACCATGGAGCTGAGATGGGTGAGTTCCAGCCTAAGGCAGGTGGTGAATGTGTATGCAGATGGAAAGGAAGTGGAAGACAGGCAGAGTGCACCATATCGAGGGAGAACTTCGATTCTACGGGATGACATCGCTGCAGGGAAGGCTGCTCTCCGAATACACAACGTCACAGCCTCTGACAGTGGAAAGTACTTGTGTTATTTCCAAGATGGTGACTTCTATGAAAAAGCCCTGGTGGAGCTGAAGGTTGCAGGTGAGCCTCCAGGTTTGGTTCTGAGAACATTTCTCCGTAGGATCTAGAGCAGATGCAGAGTTCCAGTTCCTCTTTCAAAAGCACTGCAGACACTCCTGGCTGATCACTAGCGATTGCCTGCACTGCCTTCCAGCTTAGCTTTTCTGCGACCCTTGAGAAAGACACAGGTTTTCCTTTAGGAAGAATTCTTGCTGTACCCTACATGCTCAAGTAAAGAACTCCTTTCCTCTGGCGACCAGAAATATAAGGAAAGTGAAGGACAAGGGATAGGAAACATTAGAAACCATCTCTTCAGTGACTGGTACACCATCATTTTGGTTTAGTTGTGTAACAGACGGCTTCTGTTGTGTCTCCAACCTTAATCAATCTTATGTAGGAAGAAGGAGACCAGGGTGAGACTAAAGCTGTAATTGATGAAGGGCTGCAATCCCTGATTGTTGATGGGGGATGTTTGGTCATTGCTGTGGTTTGCACAGTGTTCATGTTTTTCTCTATGCTCACACATGATGTGGGGTGGTCTTGTTTTTCCCATGATCCATCATAGTCACAAGATGCATTGTCTGTGTTCTATGAAATTGCTTATGTTCAACAGGATGACACGGAGACCCGGTGTCAGTTTCCCTATGTTGGAACAGCTTTTCTCTTTCTCAGTGCAGTCCCTTGCCCTGTGGCTTCTGGTTGGGTTTGGTTTAAGGGAATCTGCAGCAGACAATCGTAGGAAGAGAAGAGGAAGAAGTCTGGGTGCTTATTCCCTGGCTTCCTTGCTGCAAGGTACCTTCAGGCTGGCTGCATTGCCTTGCTGAAAGTAATAGCTCCTCTAAAGGAAGTCCTCAATGCATGAATCTCTTCTTTTACGTATTCAAAACAGCTTCCTCTCCTCCTCCCTCTGGTAATTGGTGTGGGTGGGAATAGCCACACATTACTGACCCTGGGATACTGCACTAGCAAATTTAGTTTTCCCCTCATCATGACCACACTTTTGTAAACAGCTCCTGAATGAAATCTCTCTTGAATTATCAAATCTGAGACCGCCATTGATTCCCATTAAGACCCTCCTTAATGCAAGAGCTATCAAGAATCTAGGCCAAATTATCCTTCCACAGCACTGGGTTCTAATCTTCATGTTGAAGTGAAGGGTTATGAGGATGGAGGGATCCATCTGGAGTGCAGGTCCACTGGCTGGTATCCCCAACCCAAAATACAGTGGAGCAATGCCAAGGGACAGAACATCCCAGCTGTGGAAGCACCTGTGGTTGCAGATGGAGTGGGCCTATATGCAGTAGCAGCATCTGTGATCATGAGAGGCGGCTCTGGGGAGAGTGTGTCCTGCATCATCAGAAATTCTGTTCTTGGCCTGGAAAAGACAGCCAGCATTTCTATCGCAGGTCAGTACGTGCTTGGCGTCAGGTTTCTGAGCTGAGCTGTGGCAGTTGAATGAAGGGGGATGTGTTAGTATCTGTGGTCGACCTGGGTCTCTGCACTGAATATAAGGCCCAAAGCACAGATCTGGAGGCGCCGCCTTGTTCCAGGGGAGCTTCTTTCCTCCATAAAGGTGTTCACAACACAAACATTTTCTGAACATTTCCTATCTGCCAGAAAGTATGACAGGCAATGGGAATTGGGGGAAAAACATTCAGATAAGCTCCTTATATAACGTCAAATGACAAAATGGTATATATATATATACACACACACACACACATGCATACATACATATATATATATATATACACACACACACAAACTCTTATCATAGTGAAACAGCTGATCTCCTTGAATAAGAAGGAGATTCTAAAAACCTAGTAAAAAGTTTTGGCCAGGCATGGTGGCTCATGCCTGTAATCCCAGCACTTTGGGAGGCTGAGGCAGGCAGATCATTGAGGCCAGGAGTTTGAGACCTGCCTGGCCGTGGTGAAACTCCATCTCTTCTAAAAATTCAAAAAAATTAGCCAGGTGTGGTGGTGGGCACCTCTAATCCCAGCTACTCAGGAGGCTGAGGCATGAGAATCACTTGAACCCAGGAGGCAGATGTTGCAGTGAGCTGAGAGCAGACCACCGCACTCCAGCCTGGATGACAGAGTGAGACCCTGTCTCAAAAAATAAATAAAATAAAATAAAATAAAAATCCAGTAAAAAAATTTTTAACAAAGTTCATGAATTATCAATTCATAGAAAAGGAAATAACCCACAAAAGAGTGCTCATTCTCATTCATTAGGGAAACATTTGAAATCATTTTTCACTTACGATATTTACAAAAATCAAAACGAAACTGCTTTGGCTTATAATACATGGTTCTCATAGGAATGTAGGAAGGCAGTGACTCTCAATCATTTTTTCGTGTAACTTGCTGTATTTTTGGTGTGCATTAGGTCAACCTCTATTGAGGGCTCTATAGCAATATCTATCCAAACTACATACTTATCGATCCAAACTTCCACTTCTAGGAATTTATCTGATAGATAAGCTTGCATTTGTATGAGATGATCTATGCAAAAGGTTTCTGTTTTTTGTTGTGTGTGTGGTTTTTTTTTAGACGGAGTCTCACTCTGTCACCCAGGCTGGAGTGCAGTGTTACAATCTCGGCTCACTGCAGATTCCGCCTCCTGGGTTCAAGTGATCCTCCTGCCTCAGCCTACCGAGTAGCTGAGATTACAAGCGTGTGCCACCACATCCAGCCAATTTTTGTATTTTTGGTAGAGATGGGGTTTTACCATGTTGGCCAGGCTGGTCTCGAACTCCTGACCTCAAGCGATCCACCCGCCTCAGCCTCCCAAAGTGCTGGGATTACGGGCATGAGTCACTGCAACCGGCCTGTAAAAGATTTCTTATAGTACTGATTACGATTGCACAAGGTTAGAAACTGTGCAGATGTTCACTGCCAGGGAACTTCCATACAAGGGAATACTGCCCAGTTAGTAAAAGGAAAAAGAAGCAATTCTCTCATAACAATATGGAAAGATCTCCAAGGTACATTTTTCACAGAAAAAGCAAGATGCAGAGGGACGTGTATAGAATGCTATTTTTAGTTTAAACAAGAGAAAAAATAAGAATATACTTTAATTTACTTTTTTTTAGCTCTCGATTGGGTTATTTAGTTTACATTTTTAAACTTCAACAAGCAATTTGGTAACACTCACTGTACATCAGACACTTTAGAAGTATTAATTTAATTATTCCAACCTCAGGAGATAGGTATTATCATTACCCTCATTTTATAGATTAGGCCACTACAAACAGAGAGGTTATGTAGTAGTCCAACATCACACTGCTAGTCACACAGGGGAGCCAGCATTTAAACCCATGCCCTCTGACTCCACAGGTTATGTTCCTAAGCATCATATTAAGTGGACTAAGGAGAAGTTAATACATGGAGGGAGGGAGGACTGGGTGGATGAGAGAGTTGCATGCCTTTATGTATATGTAGTTTTGAACCATGTAAATGTGTTACCTATTGAAAAAATATTTAGAAAAAAATGTGTATGACTCTGCTCAAGTTACTTTCCATGCAAGAGGCAGACATCTCAAGATAAGTAATAGTAGAAGCTTGTAGTGAGGATTTACCAAAGTCTTATCTATAGTCCTCTGAGACTTTAGGGAGAGAATCCTTATTTAACCTCATGAGATAGCTTCCCTGCCCCCAACCTGGGCTGAGTAGCTAAAACTTGGGGCACTGAGGCTGGGGAGGCTGAGTGCACCAGCGCCCATGACCCACAGCTCTCCCCATTCGCAGACCCCTTCTTCAGGAGTGCCCAGCCCTGGATCGCAGCCCTGGCAGGGACCCTGCCTATCTTGCTGCTGCTTCTCGGTGGAGCCAGTTACTTCTTGTGGAGACAACATAAGGAAATAACTGCTTTATCCAGTGAGATAGAAAGTGAGCAAGAGATGAAAGAACGGGGATATGCTGCAACAAAGCAGGAAATAAGCCTAAGAGGTATCCAACAAGAGCAGAGAATCTAAGCCCCAGGCTTGCGTGCCCCAGCCTGAAAACCTCACCTGTTTCCCCCACCCTGGCACCGCATCATGTTTAAGGTTTATTTCCCAAAATACCCACCTCACCCATAACAGTTCATCTTTTTTTTGTTTTGTTTTTGTTTTTTGTTTTTGGTTATTTTCCAGAGAGCCTCCAGGAGGAACTCAGTAAGTTTTCCCATTCCCCCAGAGACCCAGGCATGTCTTCCTATCCCGGCTTTGAGCACGTTGATGACTCTTCCCTGTTCATTCCATTGCAGAGAGGAGAAAAATCCAATACTTGACTCGTGAGTGGCTCTGACATTTTCTCTGAATTCAAATCTATTACTCTCTCTCTGCTTCGTTATTTTCCAGCCCATAAGTCATATCCCAGGGTTGAAAAGTGGTCTTGGATCCCTTTACCCAGAAAAAGAAAACAAGTGTGGCTCTTTGGAGAAACCACCCAGTGGTTTTTCTCTCTAGAAAAAAAAAAAAAGAGGTCTTCAATCTCTTTGTACTAGGGGCTACAGACCCTTAAGCTCTAAGAAGCACTGAAGAATATCCAGGGTTACACTTCAAAAGGAAGAGGAAAGAGAAGAATGAGGTGCATTTTCTATGGCAGGAAACTTACTTGTTTTCCACAATCCAGAGGCTGTTGAAAGGAAAACAAGAATGAAAGATTTAAGAAATAAGAAAATCAGAAGAGAGAGTGGGAGAAAAGTGTGTCTAATAGAGAGGAGTAGCCACAGTGGCTCCATTGGTACAGATTGATCATAATTGCTTTCAAAAACTAGTCCCTGAAATTGCTCTTTAAATTTCCCAAATTCTTTTTAGAGCAAGGTAAGAAATGATACAGATTGAGAAGGATGGATCTTGTACTCCTAGACATTCGCATATAGACATGGTGACACTTATGCCCAGGTACAGATTCAAAACAGATGAACTGGACCCCATTGGGAAGGAACTCTCACAGTGCCTGCCCTGCCACTAGCATTCAGTCGATGTTCCCAGACTTGATATTAAGAAGAAGAGGTGAAGAAAGAATTGTACCTGCAGATGGAGACCATGCAGAAGGGTGGGATGGTAAAAAAAAAAAAAAAAAAAAAAAAAAAAAAGACTAGATGGACGCAAAAAGAAGAGGACAGGGCCAACACAGAAAAGACAGAGTTCAGGTGACACCTCTACCTTTCTTTCATTGTAGGTGGAAAGGAGTCTTCGTCTGAAACTGATAAGTCAGCCTGATGCTCTGTAAGTTTACTGGGTCACGTGCCCTGAATATTTCAACCTTTTCTCTGCTGTGACCCGTGGAAGTTCTCAGCTGGATTAATTAGATCTAATCCAAATACTCAATTTCTGTGTGGTGGGGGTTCACCTCTGCTTTTCTGGAGCCTCTGGGAAACTCCTGATCCAGCACACTCGCTTGCAAAGCCTGGCCATGCATCCTGCACATCCCATGACACAGGGAGCCTAGCCTGACATTTTTGAGAAGGTGCCACCCCGATCCATCAGAGCTGTAGAGGAGGGAAGCTGGACTCTGGAAGATACTCTGAAGAAAAAGAGAGAAAACATGTAGTGAGGAGAGAATGCAGTGGGGAAAAGTACAAGAATACTGACCTTTTTCTTATCTGTATCTCCTTCCTTTCAGAATGGAAAATGGCCCTCTTCAAGCCTGGTGAGTAAATCACTGTATGTTCCCTGCACCAACAACCTGAGGGACTATATTCCTTTTTCCTTTTTTCTTCTCCAACTATTGTGATCTAGGGAAGAAAAGTTCCCTTGACATCCTTTGTGGGTAGGAAGACACATAGAGGGTGGAGCTGAGGGGAAGGAGACACACACTGAGTGATACTGCATGGAGAGTGAGGATGGAAATGCCAAACAGAGGAGGCAATGCCTGCCCAAAGAACTTTGTCCTTCTTAGGCTTCCCATGCCACCTACTGCCTGTGTCTCCCCAAAGGATTTAATGCTTCCAAGCTTTGGCCTCCACATTTTTAGATGATGATTGCAATCTGTGTTTCATGGGGGCTGAGGTGAAGACTGAGGGAATAATGAACTTGCTTGGCAGGAACCTAGCAAGAAATAGATGGCAAGTTCAAACTGGGTGGTTGAACAAGGTTTCCAGAAAGGAGGGTTAAGAGAAAGCAACAAGGAAAAGTGCAGTGCCCCCATGATTCCCAACAGTGGGGAGCTGTCTCCACCCCTAGCCTGTGAGGGCTAGGGAGGGGAGGCAGTTACTGGAACCCAGAGAAAAGTAGCTCAAAGACAGGGTTTCTTGAGAGAGTCGACAGGCCTTGTTAGAGCAGCACCAGCTGCTGCTGGCAGGGAGGAGGCAGGAAATTAAACGGTGTGTCTTTCCTTTCTTTCTCCTTCCAATCTTCTATCAGGGCTTCCCACTGACCAAACCCAACAGCAAACCAGAGGACAAGGGAGCCCAGTGGCATTGTTCTTAAAGGACAGATTCCTGGGGCCCAGAAGAAGGTGAAGAAAGCTGAAGGGTAGAGAATGAACCTGGGGCATATAAGGCCCCACATAGAGCCCAGCACAGAGACGGCCTTGCAGCTATTAGAAGATCAGAAGCTTCCTTCATGCCCTGCTGTAGGCTGAGTACATAACATCATTGCCTTATACAACGCTAGAGATTCATGTTTTAATCTGATTTTTCAGGTGAGGAAATGCTTCAGATGAGGCTCCACCTTGTTAAACAAATTGGATGTATGGAAAAATAAACTGCAGAAAAGGGGAACTCATTTAGCTCATGAGTGGTCGAGTGAAGGTTGAAAATTAACCTCTGATCATAAAGCATTAGTGGGCAGAGTCAATGTGGGGAAGAAAACAAGAAAAAGGTAGAAAGAGGATGCTTGCTGCTTCCTGAGGCAGCATCAGGGTGTTGGGTTAGGCAGATGCTGAGGCAACTCTCATTTCACCCTCCTCTTCCCCTCTGGACACAAGATACCTGGGGCTTTCTCTCCTGGCATCAATGAGAGAGTCACATTTAGGGAAGGCTAGGGATGCCAGGCTCTGGACTCAGGTCTCCTCAGCACAGCCCAGGCCTTGCATGCTGAGGCTCTGAAATCCAGGAAAAATGGTTGACCCCATGGACACTTCCTCAAATTCTCTACAGCGGATGTGATTCTGGATCCCAAAACAGCAAACCCCATCCTCCTTGTTTCTGAGGACCAGAGGAGTGTGCAGCGTGCCAAGGAGCCCCAGGATCTACCGGACAACCCTGAGAGATTTGATTGGCATTATTGTGTTCTCGGCTGTGAGAGCTTCATGTCAGGGAGACATTACTGGGAGGTGGAGGTAGGGGACAGGAAAGAGTGGCATATAGGGGTGTGTAGTAAGAATGTGCAGAGAAAAGGTTGGGTCAAAATGACACCTGAGAACGGATTCTGGACTATGGGACTGACTGATGGGAATAAGTATCAGATTCTCACTAAGCTCAGAACCAACCTGACACTTCCTGAGCCCCTAGGAAATCGGGAATCTTCCTGGTCTATGAGACTGGAGATATGTCATTCTGCAATGCTACGGATGGGTCACATATTCACAATTTCCTGAATATCTCCTTTTCTGGGCCTCTGTATACCACTTTCAGAATTTTGACCTAGGAACCCACTGCCCTGACCTTTGCCCAGCACCAAAAGAAGTAGAGAGTTCCCTCATTCCTGACCTAGTGCCTGATCATTCCCTGGAGACACCAGTGGCCCAAGCTTAGCTAATGAAAGTGGGAAGCCTCAGGCTGAAATAATGTCTCTACTTCTCTCTGCCCAGCCTGAATCTGAGGGTCTCCTTCTCCACAGCAACCAATCACAACCATAAAGCTACAGGCACACACTGAAGAACGCTACTGATATTCATTCTATTTTATTCTGTATACCAAATATAGAGTTTCATACCACTTTATTGTCCCCTTTATGCAGATACGGAAACTGGGGTACAGAAAAGTGAATTAACTTTCCAAATTTGGCATGACTAGTAAACAACAGAGCTGGGATCTAAACAGCAATAACTAACATTAATGGAGAATTTAAAATGTTCTGAGTGCTGTGTTATGAGCTTTGGTGGATGTCACTCCTTTAATCCTCACAACACCCTGTCGGGTAGTCTCATTTTGCAAGTATGGAAGCTGAGGCAGGGCAACATTAAGTAGCTTACATAACTCCTACGGTAATTTGTGCTGTTGGGAGATGGTCAGCTTCAGTCTCTGGCCATTTGCCCATTCTTTTCCACCCTGATTCTTCCCCCATGGGAAAAACCCACCTGTAGCCCTGAGGTTCTTTTCCCAGGACAGCTCCAGGGTAAGGATCATTGTAGGTGGTTGTGGAGTTGGCACTCCTTTTGACTCCTTTGCAGCTGATTGTCAGAGCAATAGACCCAGCACTCCTTGGATTAGCTCTGCAGAGTGTCTTGGTTGAGAGAATAACCTCACAGTACCCACGTGACGTGTAACTGGGAAAGAGACTAAAGGCCACATGACATGTAACTGGGAAAGAAACTAAAGGCCACACTCAATGTATAATGAAGCCCTGGTAGGTAACAGAGCCTCTGGGAGGTAAACAGTGTGAATTAGGATTTGAGTTGACTTTGAAGGCTAGCATGTCAAGTCTCCTAAAAACCATCACCTCCTATGGGTGGTAGAGAGTGGTAGTTATGGAAGACCTAAACTAGAAAGAAGGGTCAATATCTTTAGGTCAAAGGGTTTCTTAGGCTTCTGCCCCCTTGGCAGGAGGGACTCCTTCCTGCCTAGGGGATTTTCCAAGGGACAGAGCTGGGGAAAATCCTTATTGATACACACCCATAATTCATTCAACAAATGCTCGAGAATCATATTGTATGTTCAAGACACTGTTCTAGAAACCGAGGGTAAATCATTGAGCAAACTATATTAAGATCTCTTCTCTCAAAAAGTGGTTAAATAATTAACCATATATTCTATCAGATGGTGATGAATATCTGTAGGAAACATTAAGCAAGGAAGGAAAAGAGAGGTAGGGGCATGAGACAGATATGTACCCCCAACAAATGTGATAAGTGATCGTGGAGCCAGAGCCAGCCTTCCTATAGTCAAGGTTTCCAGGTAGAACAAATACTCTGTGATATAAGAAATTTGGATGAAGGAAGCTGGAAGAATTACAGGGATATTTTTAATCCCTCTATGGATTCAGTCTGCTGGAAAGGGGTCTGTCCACCCCTGTTCATTAGTGGATGTTAAACCCATATTCCTTTCAACTGATGCCTGCTTGGGAAAACTACTCCTCATTATCATCACTATTGTTGCTCACCATTGTATCCCCTCTTCTTGGCATGTGCTTGTCAAGTCTTGGTTGTTCAATAAATTTGTTAATAATGCTTACTCTTCAACTTGGCTTTTTCTGGACTCTAATAAGTCTACTCATCACAGCAGAGTAGTCTACATACCCATTGTACTCACCACAGATTCAGTTTACCTTATTGCAACTTTTGCCCAACACCCTTATTGTATCCATTTTTCTACTGCAGCCATCTGAATTACCACAAATTCATTGACTTAAAGCAAGACAAATTTATCTCACAGTTTTGTAGGTCAGAAGTCCAACAGGAGTTTCACCAGGCTAAAATCACTGCACTCCAGCCTGGACAACAGAGCTAAAACCCTGTCTCTAAAAAAATATATAAATAAAATTAAAAAGAAAAACAAAAGAGCCATTGCCTAACAGACGGAGCCTCTGAGAGGTAAATAGTGTGAATTAGGATTAGAGTTGGCTTTGCAGGCTACCATGTCAAGTCTCCTAAAAACCATCACCTCCTATGGGTGTTAGAGAGCCATGGTTATGTGAAGCCCTAAACTAGACAGAAGGGTCAGTGTCTTTAGGTCAAAAGATTTCTTAGCATTCTGCCCACCTGGCAGATTTCTGTCCTCCTCATTATCATTCTAGAGTTTCTGGAAGCTGAGGTCTACTAAGAAGTTCCAGAGGCAGAAAGTGAAATCCAAAACCTTCCTGTTTGAAGTTGGAGTTGAAACACCCACCTTGAAGTGAGAAAATAAGTCTGGCAGGATAAATTGAACAAGCATTTATAGCAGACAGATAGATGCTTGGTGTTGTGATGGGGCCTGTAGGTAGACCACAAAGAAAAGGGTGCAGTGGGATCCTTTTCTCTTAGAGAGCTCACAGTTTACGTGGCCCGTTGGTCTCCTGGTGTTCTCTAACATCAAGGTTCTTTCTTCCTTACCCTCATCCTTTTTTTCCTCTTTTCAATCTCTTGCTTCCTACCTCCTTTTTTTCCTTTACTTTCTTTCTTCACAGAAGAGATGCAATAGGCACTGAGACATCACTGCTTTTTAGTTGAGCCCTGATATCTCTCCCCTGGACTGGGCTCTGATCCCCCCGCTGAAATGAGGGGCAATGAGGGTGGGGGCATCTGGCTGGAGTGCATATGTGGAGGGTGGTACCCAAGGCCCCTCACAATGTGGAGGAACCCCTTCCTGCCCAGGGGATTTTCCAAGGGACAGAGCTGGGGAAAATCCTTATTGATACACACTAATAATTCATTCAACAAATGCTCAAGAAGCATATTGTATGTTCAAGACAGTTTTCTAGAAACCCGGGGTAAACCATTGAGCAAAATATATCAAGATCTCTTCCTTCAAAAAGTGATTAAATAATTAACTATATATTCTATCAGACGGTGATGAATATCTATAGGAAACATTAAGCAAGGAGGGAATAAAGAGAGGTAGGGGTATGAGACATTGCAATTATTAACAGAATGGTCAGGGAAGACTTCATTGTAAAGATGGAAATGGAGTCATCCCATCTGATGGCAAGGAACCATCAGATGCTTGAGGATGGAGCAACCCAGCAACAGGCAAAGAATATGCAAAGGACCTAGGGAAGGAACATCTCTGGCAGTTTCCAGGACCCTCAGGAGGTGATGCTGCTGTGGCTGAAATGGAGTGAGTGCAGGAAGTGAGAGGAGATGAATTCACAGAGGCAAAGAAAACACATTCTATATGGCATTGCAAGTCACAAACATCCTGTGGTTTTTAGAGCGAGCGACATGGAAAGTATTGGAAGGTTTTGAGCTAAAAATTAACATGATCTCACTTGGGTTGGTCTGCTGAGAATGGACTACTGATGGTAAGGGCAGAATAAGAAGGAGGGCACTGGAGTATTCAAGGTGTGAGTGATGGTGGCTTGAGGCAGGGTGGTGGCTGTGTTGATTCAGCATGGCAGGTTAGCTTTATGCACCCTGGTTCTTCCCACAGTGACTCCAGATGTTTCTGCTTTGCTACCTCTGGGCCTTGGCCCTGGGAGCCACTGAGGTGTCAGCCAGGGCTGAGCCAGCATCACTTTGTCCATCCAAGTTTTCTGAGGGAGAAACTAACAGAGCAGGTGGCTAAGGAGCTCTAGAGATGTGCTGCTAGGGGCACTTTCACCTGGATGTTCTGTTTCAAAATAAGTGGGTATTTCTGGCTGCCTTTTGAGAATCCGTTATGCCCAGCGGGTCTCCCTGTGTGGTGATCCTGCCTGTTATCGTGGTTATTCTGATGATATCCATTGCTGTATGCATCTATTGGATCAACAAACTGCAAAAGGGAAAAAAGATTCTCTCAGGGCAAAAGGAGTTTGAAGAGGAAAGGAAAGAAACCGCACTAAAGGAACTGGAGAAAGAACGTGTGGAAAAAGAAAGAACTTCAAATACAAGGTAAAGGAGGCCGAGTACAGTGGCTCATGCCTTCAATCCTAGTACTGTGGGAGGCTGAGGCAGGCAGATCGCTTGAACCCAGGAGGTCGACACCAACCTGGGCAATAAAGTGAGACCCTGTCTGTAATTTAAAAAAAAAAAAAAAAGTAAGAGTAGGAGGACAGTTCACCATTATAGAAAAGACACAGCTCTCCCAGGTACCAGTGTATGGAAGAGAGAGGAAATACATGGCAGCAGCAGCAAGGACTTGGAACTCTCATGTCTTTGGAAGGAATCTCTCAGAGCTTTTGTTCTTTCATTCTGCCACCATTGCATTCATTCACCTGGCTACATAAAGTACTAAATGGTTGAGCAAAAGCAAGCGTAACAATGTACCGGTACTACCCAGCCACCTCATCACATGTCATTTCTGATTTCTGACAGTGCCCTAGGCATGAGGGAAGGGAGATGTTGCTGTTCATAGAAAGGATGGTTCCTGCATTGTTTACTATAAACCCAACTTCTTTTAGTTCTTCTATTGAAGATATGATTTTGTTTCTGTTTGTTTTTCAGAGCAACTTCAAGAAGAATTGCGTAAGTTTAGCCTTTCCTGAACTACTCCATATACAATTTGAGTTCTGCTCAGTTAGCAACATCTCATGACATTCACCTCTGTCTGTCCCTTGAGGATGGTGAAGAACATTCTTACATGCTGATGAGTGCTCCTGATGTTCCCTCAGATCTCAGCTTTCTCCCCACCAGCTAGCTAACGGGACTCATTAGACAAGATGAGCAAGGGACTCAGGGCGAGGTGGGGACAGCAGGGAACTGGGGTCTGTTCATCAACAGTGTCCCAGCAGTGATGCATCATGGTTCTTCTCTCAGGGAATCCCAGCAGCTCTAAATCAACCCTATGGTTTACATCCCAGGATCCTTTCTCTTTTGGAATAATTTAATGCATGATGACAAGAGGTTTCCCATAGATAGTGGCCTCCCCAAGAGTTATGCTTCACTGGTTTTTGCTCTTTGATTCTGGATCAATTTGAAAGAAGACAATGCTGTCTTAGCAATTTATATAGTAGGGATAGTGTAGACTGTGTATAGTTGAAGGCCCATGTGGGGAAGAGGCTATAAAGGTTCCCAATAAGCCTGACAGAATGGTATACAAATAGGTGGCCAGAAATGCCTTTCTGCTTCTAAGAGAGCACGGATACTTTGTGTATAGCCTGCCAGGGGAGGTGTCTGAGTGAGTGGGAGAGCACAGAACCCAACTGCCCACTCCCAATGAGCACTTCCCATCGTATGATACAGCCCCTCTGCCCATAAGCACCACAGAATCCAAGTTTTACCAGATACCATGACACATGGACCTTTCCTCTTTAGGTGAATTTCAAAATTGCCACTGTCAACTTGGGAAAAAACAGCAAAATGTCACAACCAGATATTTCACCATGGAGAATAGAGGAAATCATTTTAACACAATGGAAAGGTAGATTGAATGAGAATAAATGCAGATGGGAGAAGCTTACAGAATGCCCAGAGCCTGGAGCGTTTCTCGCACCGACTGACAGGAAATGGACCAAGGTAGGCACCTACATTTTCTCTATCTACCCATATGTTCTTTCCTCAGTTCCTTTAGCACAGTTTCTTTCCTTTCCTGATCAAACCCCTTTTCCCCGGACAGAATCTTTTTTTCCATTTGGAGTTTGTTGATCCAATAGGTATACAGAAGTCATACCTGCAGACATCAGACCCATGTTGTTGAAGCAAAACTAGATGGAAATAGTTCCTCCCTACTTTTGCCTACAGACCCCTCAGGCAACAGGTTTTTTTGCGGGGGACATTTATTCTCCTTCTTTATCCTTGAAGGGTGCCCTTGTCAGTCGTTTAAATCAGTTGTCATCTGGTAAAAGGAACACATAGGACCAATGAAGAGACCCTTTATCCTCTAGGACAATGTGAAGGGAAAGACTCACCTTAGTTGATCAACTGGGGAGAGAAGGAGCAGGACATAATGCCTCTGTGCTGGTTTGAACCAGATAATTAAAAGGTTCTAACTAAAAAAAGTTCCAGAGATCCTAGGTCTTGAATAGAAAAGGGAATAGATCTTAGAATGCTGAGAGAAAGTGTGAATGATTAATTTGGGCTCATTTCCTAAACTCTCTGGATTTCAAAGAGCCTCAATTCTTCTCAACCTGAGGGTACTGCTTCTGTCTCTGGAGAGACAGAAGTGCAGCTTCAGAGGTCGGGAGCCGTGGCCCACGCCTGTAATCCCAGCACTTGGGAGGCCGAGGCGGGCGGATCACCTGAGGTCAGGAGTTCAGGACCAGCCTGACCAACATGGAGAAATCCTATTTCGACTAAAAATGCAAAACTGGTTTCGGTGCATGCCTGTAATTCCAGCGACTGGGGAAGCTGAGGCAGGAGAATTGCTTGAACCCAGGAGGCGGAGGTTGCGGTAAACCAAGATCAACCCATTGTACTCCAGCCTGGGCAATAAGAGTGAAACTACATCTCAAAGAAAACAAAAATAAAAACAAAAATAAAAAACCCTGCAGCTTCAGTAACTCTCAGGGTATGCGCTGTCTGGGATCAGGGGGCCTTCGTGGAAATGGCCCCTTCACGGGGATTCCCCTGTAGTTTTCTGAGACTTCTCTGGGGACCAGGAACCACACAATCCTGAGGGTTCCTGAGACCCAAGGCCTAAACCTGAGAATTCCTCTGCAGCCAGTGTGGTCCTGCACACAGACACTGCTCATCTCGATCTCTTATCAGATGACCAAAGAAGTGTGACATTGGCTCGCTCCAGGGAGAGCGTGCTATATAACCAGAGAGATTTCAACAGTCAGCTTTGTGACCTGGGCTGGGATAGCTTCGCCTCAGGGAAACATTACTGGGAGGTGGAGGTGGAAAATGTAATTGAGTGGACTGTGGGGGTCTGTAGAGACAGCGTTGAGGGGAAATAGGATGTCCTGCTACTTCCTCAGAATGGCTTCTGGACCTTGGAGATGCATAAAGGAAAATACTGGGCCCTGATCTCTGCTAAGTGGATTCTCTCTCTGAATGAGCCCCTTTGCCGGTTGGGCGTCTTCCTGGAGTATGAAGCTGGAGACGTCTCCTTCTACAACATGAGGGACAGATCGCACATCTGCACATTTCCCCGTTCAGCCTTTTCCAGGCCCCTGAAGCCATTCTTCAGGTTACAGTCTTGTGACAGCTGCATCTTCATCTGCTCCGCATTCACAGGAGCCAATGCGATCATGATGCCTGAAGAGGCCTGATAGTTCACAGATCGGGGACCCACCATGGCCCACAGAATCAGTTCCCTGGTCTCACAGCCATGGAGACAAGCCCTGGCCATCTCAGCAGCCACTGCATAATGCCCCTGGTAGAAGACATGCCCTCCTCCCTCCTAGTCACACAAGAGAACATCTTCCAGCTGCCTCTTTCACACCCAGTCCAGACCTCAGCCCCTGTTCACTCCTCACTAGGCTGTAGCTTTAGTAATTCCTTTGCTTGTAACTATGGAATGTGATCCAGTGTTAGAAATAAATGCTTGGTGCCCCAAAGAAGAGTCAGCACTCTGGCAAAAAGCTTTCTCAGCTAGGCAATTTACTTCTGCAGAAGGGTGCTGCTTGAAAGTCTGGTCACCACAAGAACACACCAAAAAAAGAGGGAAAGAATTTTTATTCCTAATGCCGCTTGTCCCAGCTTCTGTGTTCAGTCACCACTCACCAGAGTTGGACTGCACAATCTTAGCTGAACCTGATTAGCTAACTTGAAAGGGGCAGGGATGTGGTTAAACTGGTTGGAAGGTCAGTTTCTGTGGGAAGAGCCATTGCAACGGGAGGGGTAATTTACAGAGTGAGTAGCAGATGTGGGCTCTGTAGGTAAGGACCAGTGGAAAAGTCGTTTACTGAAACTAAGACACGGAGACATAAAGGATAAGGAGGTTAGTTTGGCCTTATAAGTAGGGAAAAAAGAACAAGGGCACTGAACAAGCCAAACCTTTGAAGAGGAACTTCTTTTGTATCTGACATCCAGGCATAGGGAACTAGGTGTTACACAGCTCCCAGCCAGGAAGAAAGTGTGAGAAGCTGATTGGCAGTGAACCTGCTCTTTAACATCAGGATGATGACATTGAGCCCAATATGCCAGTTGGCACCAGATGCTGTGGATTTGGAATGAGGCCAGCATCACCAGGATGTGAGAGGAGAGAAGAATCCACAGGACCACCAGAGGGAAAAGGGAACCAGATATGCAGGTCAGAGATAGAAGAGGTGGAACCAGAGAGCTGGGAGGGAGCAAGGTTGTGACGGTGGTTAAGCCCCACCATAACAACTAAGGGGTCCTGGGATATGATGGCTCATTTCCACCCAACCCCAGGATTTCCAGAGCACACACCCACAGGCCTGGCCCTGGGATGAAGATGAATGAAGAACATGGACTCATGTGGATGTGATTTGGCTCCTATGTCCCTGCAATAAACAAGGAGTCAGTAGTTAGTCCTTGAGTGTGGTTGAGGTTTGAGGTCCCAGTGGAGCAGAGTAGTACTGGAGCTGGTCTGCGTCAGCATTCAGGTTCAATGAGGGCACCAGTGGCTTCAAACTTCCCGGTCTAATTATGTCTTTAGACACTTAATAACTGCTGAGGGCCTTAGGAGCTTTTGTTTATTTGGGTTGGTATTTGTTAATATTTATGGCATTTATGATTGAAACAGAAAATGTTAAAATATAGCTTACTAATTCATGTTAAAATACCATGAATGCACCAATTACAGGTTAATATAAATAGAAAGATTTGTGAAAAAAATCAACTGTTGTGTCTAAACAAAAGAACAAGAAGTGTGACATTGGTTAACTTTTTCCAAATCTAATGTCTGGCTTAGTGGAAGACATTTGTATTCTCATATCTGCTTTTGTATTAAATCTATTGGTATATCACAGGTTATATAGGCCCCCAAAAACCTTATTGTACCCTACCGAGAGAATGAAATCAAAAACAAAAAATGTTATATTATTAATATTATAATGAAAATAGTATTAACATTGGGGACTCCTTAACAGTATATCAGAGTTCACCCTAGGAATCCCCAGACAATATTTGGAAACTAGAATAGTGGATCCTGGACATTAATCCATGTGCTGGTTAATTTTAGATGTCAACTTGACTGGATTAAGAATACCTAGACAACTGATACAACATTATTTCTGAGTGTGTCTGTGAATGTGTTTCTAGAAGAGATTGGCATGTAAGTCAGTGGGAAATTCTCCCCTCCTATTGGCTAGAGGCCCAACAGAACAAACGGCAGAGGAAAGACAAATTCTTCTCTCCCCTGAGACATTCTTCTTTTTCTGCCCTTGGACACCAAAACTCCTGCCTTTCCAGCCTTTCAGCTTTGGGAATTGTACCAGGATGCCCTGGGTTCTCAGGTCTTTCGGTTCGGACTGAGATTTACACAATCGGCGTCCCTAGTTCTGAGGCTTTCGGACTTAAACTGAGCCATGCTACCAGCATCCCAAGGTCTCCGGCCTACAGACAAGCTGTCATGGGATTTCTCAGCCTCCATAATCACATGAGAAAATTTCCCTAATAAACGCTCACTCATACATATATATCTATATCTGTATCGTATTGGTTTTGTCTCTCTGGAGAACCCTGACTAATACAATCAGGCATCTAAAATTCTGGCTTGAAAGGTAGCACTTTAGGTTTGAGACAATTCAATAATCCAACAGGACTGAAAAAAAATAGTCCAAAATCATATTACTGCATTTACAAATAGACATATTATTCAATGAATCTGGAGTGATTCTTTCAACCTCTGTGGTTGAGGGCCAGATCATATACGGCCCTGAATGTCATGATGCTGACCTGCAGTTTACCTCTGAAAGGGGAGCCACTGGAAAGTTTGGCAGAAAAAGGACTGGACTTACTTCAGATGCTAGACAGAGATGGGCTGTGTGTAGGGGTGGTAGATGGAAGCCTGAAGACCCAGCTGGGAGCTATTGCAGTGATCCAGAGGGGAGATGCCAGTGACTTGTACCAGGGAGGAGCCACGAAATTATATGATGCTGGATTTATTTTCAAGACAGGGTAAAAAGGCTTAAATGTGGGATGTGAAAAAGGAGGGCATCAAGGGTGACCACAAGGTTATGGTCCTAAGAAGCGGTACAGATGGAGTTGGCACTTAGGGAGATGAGGAAACTGAGGGACAAGTGCATTTTGAAGGCCAGAGGAGGAGCCAGCATGGAATTCAAGGTCACTTTTAGGCATGTTCAGGTTGAGGAACTTACTAGAGATCCCCGTGGAGATGCAGAGTAGGTAGGTCAATAATAAATGTGTAGGCCAGGCATGGTGACTCATGTCTGTAATCCCAGAACTTTGGGAAGCCGAGGCAGGTGGATCACCTGAAGTCAGGAGTTCAAGGCCAGACTGGCCAATATAGCAAAACTCAATGTCTACAAAAAATACAAAAATTAGCTGGGTGTGGTGGCATGCTCCTGTAATCCTAGTTACTCAGGAGACTGAGGTAGGAGAATCACTTGAACCTGGGAGGTGGAGTTTGCAATGAGCCGAGATCAGGCCACTCCAGCTTGAGAGACAGAGCAAGACTCCATCTCAATACATACATACATACATACATACATACATACATACATACATAAAACTATAGTAATAATAACAAATGTGCAGTCCAGGCAACAGGTCAGGAATGAAACACAAGTTATTCTCTTTGTCTTCTGTATCTTCATGTTTGCTGCCACTGCCTGTTTCACTTTAATGCATTAGTGATCTATTGCTGCATAACAAATTACCACAAACTTAGTGGTTTAAAACAGCACATACTTATCATTTTAGTTTCTGTGGGTCAGAAGTCCAGGCAGAGCTTAGTGGGCTTCTCTGCTCTGAACATCAGAAAGCAAAAGTCAAGGTATTGGTCAGGCTGTAGCCTCATCTGGAGTCTCAACTGAGGGAGAGTCCTCTTTTCAGATCACTCAGGTCATTAGCAGAATTCATTTCTTTACAGTTGTAGGTCTGAGAGCCCCAGCTCCCTGCAGGCTGAAGCTGGAGTCTGCTCCTAAAGGGCTCCTCAGCTCCCTGCTATGTGGGTTTCCCACGATGACTACTTTCCTCTTCATAGCCAGCCAGGAAGACAGAGCCTCTAGAGTGGGTCAGCTAGCAAGACAAAGTGTTACACTACATAATGTAGTCATGGAAGGGACCTGCCATCAGCTTTACCATACTTTATTGGTTAGCAGCAAGCCACAGGTTCAGCTCACCCTCAGGGAAAGTATGGGCTACAAACTGCAGGAGGAGTAATCACAAGGGGTCCACTCCAGAGTCTGTAGGATACAACATATAAGAAACTCAAGGTTCTCCCATTGTAACTAGCCTGCTTCCCCTTTCCCTGGGCAACACACTGCACCTGCCTCTCTCTAGGAGTCTATTTCCATACAAGCAAAGTCTCAGAAAGAGAACACATGCATGGCCATCAGGCACTGTCTGCCATGATGATGGCCACTGCTGTATCACACCATAAACATTGTTCTATCAGTTACTACTGGATTCCCAACCATTAAAACCATTATACATTTCTATTTTTCCCTCCCACCCCCATGCTTTTTTAAAGAGAGAGACAGGATCTTGCTCTGTCACCCAGGTTAGAGTTCTTGGTGTGATCATAGCTGAGTGCGGCCTTGAACTCCTGGGCTCAAGTGATCCTCCTGCCTTAGCGTTCTATAGTGCTGGGATTATAGCTATGAGACACTGGGCCTTGCTTGTCTTTATACACTTCTGTCTTTTCTTTATGGACAACCCTGAGTTCTTCATAGACCTGCCTGAGTAGGTGTTCCCTCCTGCGTGGCATCTGCCTCATTAATCCCCAAGGCCCTCTTTGTGGTCTTTCCCTACTCCTAGGGAGATCCTTCTCAGAATTCTTGCTCCACTTGCTCCAGAACTGCTGAAATTCCTTAGGCTTTGATCCTGGGCTCTCTTTTCACACCACATATACTCTTGTAGGGTCCAGTCCATTTTCAGAGCTCTATCCCATAAGCAGACGCCACCGGCACCTGCATTTCTGTCTCCAGCCCCACACATTCCCTGAACTCAGTGCCCACTAGCATCTCACAATGAGTGTGTCCAAAACTAAACTCCCATCAGCCCTGCCTACCCATCATTATCTGAGTGAGCGACACCACCTAACAGTCATTTTAGCCTTCTCTTGTTGTCTCTTAACCCACCATATCTGACTGATAGCCAAGTCCTGCTATTTGTACTTCCTTTCAATAGTCCAGCTTAGTGGTTTGAGCACAGACTCTTTTGCCAGACAGCCTGGGCTCAAGGCCTAGCTTGGAAAGAAACTACTCATGTGACTTTGGTGAGTCGTTTTACCTCTCTGGACCTCAGCTTTGACATATAAAATGTGGGAAATAAGATACCTTTTAGTGTTGTTGTGAATCTTATTAATACATATAAATCTCAAAGCACAGTACCAACATGATAGTAGGTTTTACGTAAGTATTTGTTAGTACTAATATTAATAGTTGATCCAGACTCCTCTCCCCATCTCCAAGCCATCATCATTTCTTGCCTAGAGTGTCACAGTAGCTTCCTTCCAGGTCTCCCTATCTATTAACATCTGGCCCACTGAGGAGGACAGATACATTATTCAACCCCAGCAGGCATCATCCCATAGAATACAATGTAAATGGCACCCCCTACCTCCCATCTTCCCTTGCACCTGCCCCACTGCTATTTTCAGTGTACACATTTTTTCACGTCAAACTTTTCAGAGATTTTCCCTTCACCTTCAAAGTGAGACTCCAACTCCACAGCAGGCAACTGTTGATGTTGTCTCCAGGGGAGGTGGGTTCAGGAGTCATCAATGCAGGGATCAGAATTGAAACTTACAGAATGGAAGACAATGAAATGCATTGAGGGTTAATACATGAAGGTGCTGTGCTAACTCTTCCTTAAATAACTTATGGAATAGGTCTTATTTCCACCCTACAGACAAAGAAACAGACATGATTAGTTAGTAAACTGGCTTTGGGTTCCAGGGCTAATGAGTTGTGGATGAAAAGAGATGAAGATAGAAAAAAAAAAAGCCTAGAGACAGCAGATAGTAAGCCAGTGTGCGTGTGACGTGCTGACAGATATCTAGATATAACAGAAAGAAAATTCATGTTCATGGGAGTTCCTAATGGCAACAAGAGGTGAGATAATCATGAGAAATGGATATTTCTTGAGACTAACTCAGTAAAGGAGACAGATTTCTGGGCATTTTGCCACACCATTGCATGCAGAACACTGGAATTGGTCTCGTAGAAGACAAAGAGAAGATAGGATCAAGTGCCCAGGTCTTGAAGGAGGGCTAAGTGCACTTTTCACTTAGTGTACATTCTTGTGACTTATTTATTTATTTAGTTTTTGATACACTGTTGTAAGCAAACTGTATGCATTATCTCATTCCATCCTCACAACAGCAACCCTAAAAGTCAAGTACTATTACCATCCTTATTTTAGAGATAGGGAAACTGGGACACAGAGATGTTAGGTAACTAGCCCAAGGTCACACAGGCCACCTGGCTTGAGAATTAGTGCTCTTATCCACTCCATTATGCAACCCCTCCTCACTAATTTTAAACTTCAGTGGCTGAGACCTACTAGATGATAGATTCTCAATAAAAATTTGTTGAATCACTGAATTCATTTCTGCCCCATTTCACATCCATTTCTTTCCCAAGACTTCTTTCCCAGAGTTCTGTATAAAGGACTGCATGAGAAATGGACCCAGGGGCCTCATACTTTGGAAACTTCAAAGTTCAACGATACGGAGTATTGGGCCCAGAGACTCCTAATCTGAAGCTTAGCATTTCAGCTGCTTCTCTGTGTCAAAGCGACTTGAATCCTCCAGGCTAGGGTGGGTTGATCGTTCTTACTGATATAATTTCAAGCAACACAGCTTCTGATAGACTGTGAATTTAAAAATAAGCAAATGAATAATTAAATAAATAAGGATGATAGATGGATAGGGAATGATCAGTGGTATGGATTATAATAAAGTAAGAAAGTTTAGTAAAATATTAACTATATCACTACAACCTACATGGTAGGTATATTGGTATTTACTGAAAATTCTTTCACCTTTGCTTTATGTTTTACAAGTTTTATGATAAACTGTTGGGAAGGAAAAAGGGGAGGGAAAATTTTTGATATTCTGCTGATAACAGAGACCAGAAATACCATTGGCTTAAACAAAACAAAGGTTTTCTTGTTGTTTTGTTTGTTTGTTTGTTTGTTTGTTTTCATGTAAAATGAATTTAGATGGTGGCAGTCCAGGGCTGATCTGGCCCCTCAGAGATGTCATTCATGACCCAGCCTTCTTCTGATTTCATTCTCTGCTGTCTCTGCATGTGGCTTCCAACCTCAAGGTTGCCTCATGGTCCCAAGAGGGCTGCTGCATCTCCAGTTCAAAAGTCTACATCCTAGGCAAGAGGAAGAAGGAAGTATGGAGAGTGTACCTCACACTTCCCGCTATTTTGGCCTCCCTTTTGAAGGATCTCTGGGAGAAACACAAGCCCACAACTTTCACCTACAAACTATTGGTTTCAACTTAGTCCCTTGGTCTCCAATAACTATGAGATGGAAGAGCATATTGCAGTACCCAAGAAAATTAGGCCTTATCACCAAGAGAAAAGAGGGAACGTATGATTCAGAAGCAACCAGCCATCTCAGCCAGATACTGCACAGCCTAAATTCAATCATTTACAATATAATCAAATTCCATCAGCCCCAGTCATATCTTAGCTTTAGGAGCTTTGATCACTGACTTGCAAATCCAAAAAGTGTGTTTTGAGGTCCTAGGCCACAGGAAGTACCAGTTTGTCCCACAGACCTCTTACAGAGATGGCATTCACAGTCTATCTAGTGTCCAGCTTCAGAGAGTATGTACTCTACTGGCAGCACAATAAACAAATACACAGGGAAATACTATATAGCACAAACCAGGAGCTAAGGGCAAATGAAGATGCTCAGAAACACCTGCACTAAAAATTTCCTGAAAAAGGTAAAACATGTCAAGCAACACTGCCTCTGGAAACCAGAAAAATTATATTATTTGATAACAGATCCTAAGCCTGGATGTTGGAGGTGCTTGAAAATGTGCATTGTGTCTGGCTTTCTTTCCATTTATATGTTATTTGACTCTGCAGTAAAATCTCCTCCTCCTCCATGTACCCATATTCATGCTAGCAAATGTTAGCAAACTGCCACAATAGCATTTTAATTAGTGCACATCTGTCTCTCTTCTTTTAATTAGTGCACATCTGTCTTTCTTCACCACATTATAATCTTTTCCCGTTTTGTTCTGCTTATATTTCTATTATGATAAAAGACTTAAGACAAGTAAATACATAGAAATACTTATATACATGTACGTGCAAGAATGATTCAGATAGATAAACACAGAAACACAAACAGTAAGGGAGGTAGGGCTGGAATTTTACTTCAACGTGTACAATTCAATGTACTTTCAGTTTTCATTTCAACCTTCCTCAGTGGTTTTTTTCCTAGCAGCTGATGAGAAACATCACCTCTGAGCCAATCAAGAAACTAATTCTTCCAAAGAGAGATTGTTCCAATTCCTCACGGTGACCTGACAGCCTCTGCTTTCTTTTTCCTTTCTTCGGAATGAGAGACTCAACCATAGTAGAAAGAATGGAGGACTATATTAACGACCCTTCTTCAGTGGGCTGTGATTTTCAAAGGGGAATACTAAGTTGTAAGTAGGGGATATTGATTACAGCCTGGGTTACAATGCCTGGGAGGACAGTGGCTGAATCACTGAGAGTGGTGAGTGGGCATGCAGGGCATGACTCACCCAGAGAAAGGGTGAGGTGCCTGTGTTTGTGTGTGTATGTGCGTGTGTGTCTGCATGGGCACCCACACACATGTGTGGGTACGCGGGGGGAGACAAGTAGTGCAAAGAATAAAGACCTGCAGATGTTGGGATTTGGTGGAAGGAAAGGGAGACAACATAAATGAAGAAATATTCCAACTGCATGTTCTTAAGAACGTATTGTGGTCAGAAAAGGGCAAAAAAGTCTCTAAAATCTGTTCTGGCCAACTCAAGCCATCTATTCTAAGAGATTCTAGAAAGAGATGTGCCTTATAGATTCATATGTAAATTTGTTCATTATGGAAATATTTATAATATAGAAAAATCTGAACCAGCATACACATACAACAGGCGGGGAATAGACAAAAAATGCATGGTTCAATCACAAAAGAGATTTCCATGCAGTCTTTAGGAATTGTGTTTTTAATGAAGGGCAATTATTTCTAATTTTAACAATGTTGGATCCATACATTAAACCTTGTTTTGTTTCTTTTAGGAACAGTATATCTTTTTCCTTCCATTCATCATTTCCCCAAAACCTAACATATGTGTTCCAATGGATACAATCTATTTCATTGTATGAATATACAATTATTTTTAATACTTTCCTACTTTGGCTATTTCAATTATCTATATTTGGCTTCTGTAGATTTTATTATACTTAACAGCCTCAGGCATAAATTTTTGTCTTAATTTCTGATTGTTTTTTTCCTTCAATAATAATTCCAATAAGTGGAACTTTTGGGTAAAGCATACAACTTCTTTTATTTAAATAGCAGTTCCTTGGTACAGCATGTAACTTTTTAAGGATGCTTGCTGTATATATGACCAAAATGCTTTGAGAAATATTTATATTTCTACTACCAAAGTATATGATTACTACTACAGAGCTTTTTATTGATTTATTGATTTGTAGAAATGGGGGTCTCATTATGTTGCCCAGGCTGGTCTTAAACTCCTGGGCTCAAGGGATGCTCCCACCTCAACCTCCCAAATTGCTATGATTACAGGCATTAGCCACTACTTAAACTTTTATTCCTTTATGCTTTCCTTCATTTGCAATATTGACTATAATCAGGAAGGAAAAAAATAAATATCCTTTTAAAAAATGAAAACATATGTCTCCCTTTAAGCAGAGCAGAGAAATTGTTAACTTTGAAACCAATGATAATAAAAATGATACCCCTTCTATAGCAACATAAAGAGCAGTTTTGGGGGAGCAGAAGATGTGGTGAAATGCAATGTTTAGTGCGGGTGGGTGCAAGATCCAGGCAGGGGTGGAGGATGGCCGGCTGCACAGACCTCTGTTCCGGTGCTTCCTCTTCATTCCTCCCCACCTGCCTCTGCAGACCTTGTTCTCAGAGGCCATTCCCAGACCCAGGTAGCCACAGCAGCAGGTGTTATGGCTGCAGGCCTCATGCTCCTTTGATTTAGAAGAAACTGTTGAGGAGTTAGTTTTTACTGAGTAGCTAATATGTTCCAAGCAGTATTCTCACTCATAATAATTACTGTTAAGTAATACATGAAAAATTTTAAATTTAAAGCATTTCAATATTTTAATAGTAAAGGGAGCAAAAGGCCAAAATGTCCTTTCACTCACTTAACCTCCAATCTTCAGTTTAGCATGCACCTTTTTATACACTTTTTCAGGTGTTTACATCTATATGTGGAAATGTATAGTTTTGCTTTTGTTTTTCAATTGAATCATTAGTATAGTTCCGCAACATACTTTTTGATCACTTAGTGTGTCTCCATTATCTAGGTTATGACAATAAATCAACTCTTTTTACCTGCTTCATTGAATTCCCTCCGAGGGATGAGCCATCATTCCTCTAAGCAGTCTCCTGTTGGGTGGCTGGTTCAGTTGGTTACCACTTTTATGCTTTAAAAATAGTGCTGCAGTATCATTCTCACAGAGGCTTCTCTCTGTACCCATGCAAGTACTTTGCTGGACTAGATATCAGGAAGTGGAATTGCTGGGCCAATTGTGCACATTCTAATTTCACACTTAATGATATTGAATGAGTAAATAAAGTTCCAATGGTTTTGTCCCATAACCGAGCTCACACAGCTTGTGAATCTTAGAGCACACAGCTTGTGAATCTTAGAGGCTTTATCTATTGCTTACCTTTTTTGTGTCCATAACACTAACATAGTAGGCCTGGCCCATTGTGGGTGCTCAGTAAATATTTGTTGAATGACTTTATGAAGGAAGAAAGAAAAGATGAGTAAAACCTGGTCTTATTTGCAGCTCTCTGATCTCTAGCCTTGAATTAAATGTGATGGGTTCAGCCCCTAACTGACTCCAGAGCCCCCACCAGGCAGTCTGCCTGAATCCCACCAGGAGTCCACTGGGCCATGACTTGACCATGATGATGGCCAAGAGTTGAGGCTTTGAGGAGTCCAAGATATTGGACACCATCTGTGGTGGACCCCAGTGGATCCAAGGAGCCCAGTGAAGAGGGTCCTGCATGAATCAGAGGGGGATAGTGGAGGGTTGGACATGGCAGGGGAAGTTTGGGGAAGTGATAGGATTCTGAATATTTTCAAGCAGTAGAGTCAAGGATTTCTTGATTGGATAACATGTGCATTATACATAGACATGTTTACAGGTAATTTTCCATGTTGGAACTCAAAAGTAAAGACCCTGAAGGACAGACTTTTTTGGCACCGGTAAGATCTTCTTCTGTCACTGTAATTGAGTTAGCCCTGGGGAAGTGGACCTGTGGAATCCTATAGCTTCCTTTGGGCCATAGTGTCTGCTCCACACCTTCTGGTGTCTCCTGATATGCAGCACGGATGAAAATGGCAAGTTCCCTGGCCTTTCTTCTGCTCAACTTTCAAGTCTGCCTCCTCTTGGTCCAGCTGCTCACTCCTTGCTCAGGTAAGGAATGATTCCATGATTGTTTCTGAAGCAGACAATTATGTATTAATGTCCTCATAGAACTTTTGACTCCTTCCCAAACCTGGAAGTCCATCCCAACTGGAAGGATCACATGTCACTAAGAGACAAAGAGTGTTTCTGTTAGCAGTTGGTCCCCCTCTAGGTTCTCTGTATCTCGCCTTCCCTGTCTGAGAAGCACCCTTCCTCTCATGACCCCAACTCTAACACCCTCTGATGGAGCCTACTCCTTGTGACGACAGCTCAGTTTGCTGTGCTTGGACCCCTTGGGCCCATCCTGGCCATGGTAGGTGAAGACTCTGATCTGCCCTGTCACCTGTTCCTGACAGTGAGTGCAGAGACCATAGAGCTGAGGTGGATAAGTTCCAGCCTAAGGAGGGTGGTGAATGTGTATGCAGATTGCAAGAAAATGGAAGACAGCCAGAGTGCAGAGTATTGAGGTAGAACTTCGATTCTTCAGGATGGCATCACTGCAGGGAATACTGCTCTCCCAATATACAATGTTACAGCCTCTGATAATGGAAAGTACTTGTGTTATTTCCAAGATGGTGACTTCTATGAAAAAGCCCTGGTGGAGCTGAAGGTTGCAGGTGAGCCTCCAGGTTTTGTTCTGAGAACATTTCTCTGTAGGATCTAGAGCAGATGCAGAGTTCCTCTTCCAAAAGCACTGCAGACACTCCTGCCTGCTCACTAGCAATTGTCTGCACTGCCTTCCAACTTAGCTTCTCTGAGGCCCTTAAGAAAGACACAGGGTTTCCTTTAGGAAGAATCCCTGCTATACCCTACATGCTCAAGTAAACAACTCCCTCCCACTGGCGACCAGAGATATAAGGGAAGTGAAGGGTGAGGGATAGGAAGCATAAGAAACCATCTCTTCAGTGACTGGTACACAGTCATTTTGGTTTAGTTGCGTAACAGACGGCTTCTGTTGTGTCTCCAAGTGCACACTACCATGGGCCCTGGGAGGTGGAATAGTGATTGTATCTGCTGCCGATGTTTTCCAATCAGTGACTCCCAGAGATATTTTTGTAGTAGAATGAGGCATGTTTCTTACTTGCAGTGAGGAAGAACACACATCATGGGGAGCTGTGGCAGTATCTCAGTAAGAAGGTGTTAGAGCAGACTTAGTATACAATTTGGGTTTGTGTTAGGGGATTTCAGGAAGGGTTTATAGACTTAGCCCTCTGCTCTGGATGAGATACTGTCAGGAAGGTGTGGGGAGATGAATTCTGTGAGTGGAACCTTAATCAAGCTTATCCAGGAGGAAGGAGACTAGGATGAGACTAAAGCTGTAATTGATGAAGAGGCAGCAATTCCTCATTGCCGATGGGGGATGTTCGGTCATTGTTGTGGTTTGTACAATGTTCATGTTTTTCTTTGCACTCACACATGATGTGGGGTGTTCTTGTTTTTCCCATGATCTGTCGTAGTGACAAAGTACTATTTTCTGTGTTTTGTGAAATTGTTCATGTTCAGCAGGAGGATACCAAGACCTGGTGTCAGGTTCCAGATGTCTGGGATGGCTTTTTTCTTTCTCAGTGCAATCCCTTGCCTCAGGGCTTCTGGTTGGGTTTGGTTTAAGGAGAGCTATGGAAGACAATGGTAGAAGGAAGAGAGAAGGGAGAGGTCTGGGTGCTTATTCCCTGGCTTTCTTCCTGCAAGTTACCCTCGGGCTGGCTGCATTGCCTTGCAGAAGGTCATAGCTCAACTCAGGAATGTCCTCAATCCATAAATCTCTTCCTTTATGTCTCCAGAACAGCTCCCTCTCCTCCTCCCTCTGGTAATTGGGGTGGGTGGAAATAGCCCCACTGTTACTGACCCTGGGATACTGCACTAGCCCATTTAGTTTTCTCCATCATGACCACACTTGTGTAAATAGCTCCTGAATGAAATCTTCCTTGAATTATCAAATGTGAGTCTGCCATTGATTCCCATTAAGACCCTCCCTGATACAGGAGCTCTCAAGAATTTAGGCCAATTTATCCTTCCACAGCACTGGGTTCTGATCTTCACGTTGAAGTGAAGGGTTGTGAGGATGGAGGAATCCATCTGGAGTGCAGGTCCACTGGCTGGTACCCACAACCCCAAATACAGTGGAGCAACATCAAGGAAGAGAACATCCCGGCTGTGGAAGCACCTGTGGTTGCAGATGGAGTGGGCCTGTAGCATTAGCAGCATCCGTGATCCTGAGAGGCAGCTCTGGGGAGGGTGTATCCTGCATCATCAGAAATTTCCTCCTCGGTCTGGAAAAGACAGCCAGCATTTCCATCGAAGGTCAGTACCTGCTTGGCCTCAGCTTTACTGAGTTGAGCTGTGACAGGTGATGAAGGGTTATGTGTGAGTTTCTACTGTGTAAGTCTCTGCGGTCAACATGGGTGTCTTCACCACACGTAAGGTTCAAAGCAGGGACCTGGAGGCTCCTCCCTGCTCCAGGGGAGCTTCCCCACTCCACAAAGCTGTTCATGCCACAAACATTTACTGAACATTTCCTGCCTGACAGAAAGTGTGACAGGTAATATGAATTGGGTAAAAACGTTAAGAGAAGTTCCTTATGTAAAGTCAAATGACAAAATGGGAAAACATATATATATTTACAAACTCATAGAGAAAGCTAATCTCCTTGAAACAGAAGATTTTGAAAACTGAGTAAAAAATTTTAACAAAGGTCATGAATTGTTAATTCACAGGAAAGGAAATAACCCACAAAAGGGTGCTCATTCTCACTCATTAGGGAAACATATATAGGAAATCATTTTTCACTTATGATATTGGCAAAAATCAAAACCACACTGCCTTGCTTGATAGCACATGGCTATGGCAGGAATGTAGGAAGGCAGTGACTCTCAGTCATTTGCTCATGTCACTTGTATTTTTGGTATGCATTAGCACAACCTCTATTGGGGGATCTATCCAAACTACGTATTTACTTATCAAAAATTCCAGTTCTGGGAGTTTATCTGATAGATTAGCTTGCATTTGTATGAGATGATCCATATAAAATGTTTCTAGGGTGTTTGTTTATTTGTTTGTTTTTGAGAGGGAGTCTCATTCTGTTGCCCAGGCTGGAATACCATGGTGCAGTTTCAGCTCACTGCAACCTCCTTCTCCTGGGTTCAAGAGATCCTTCTGCCTCAGCCTCCCCATTAAGTGGGATTACAAGCATGCACCACCAGACCTGGCTGATTTTATATTTTTACTAGACATGTGGTTTCACCATGTTGGCCAGACTAGTTTCAAACTCCAGACCCCAATTCATCTGCCTGCCTCAGCCTCCCAAAGTGCTGGGATTACAAGTGTGATTCACCATGCCCAGCCTGTAAAAAGTTTCTTACAGCATTCATTGTGATTGTACAAGGTTAGAAGCTATGCAGAAGCTTACTGATGATCAACTTCCATAAAGGAAATACTGCCCAGTTGTGAAAGAAAAAAGAGAAATTCTTTCTATATTAATATGGAAAGATCTCCAAAACACAATTTATCCAGAAAGAGCAAGATGCAGAGTGATGTGTATAGAATGTCATTTTTGGTTTAAACAAGAGGAAAAATAAGAATATATTTTAAATAACTTTTTTTAGTTCTTGACTGTGTTATTAATTTACAGTTTTAAAATTTAACAAGCAATCTTGTAACACTCACTGTACATCAGGCACTTTATTTATTTATTTAGTGACAGAGTCTCACTGTCAACCAGGCTGGAATGCAGTGGCACAATCTTGGCTCACTGTAAGCTCCGCTTCCCAGGTTGAAACGATTCTCCAGCCTCAGCCTTCCAAGTAGTTGGGATTACAGGGACATGCCACTACACTCAGCTAATTTTTGTAATTTTAGTAAACATGGGTTTTCACCATGTTGGCCAGGCTGGTCTCGAACTCCTGACCTCAAGTGATCTACCCACCTTGGCCTCCCAAAGTGCTAGGATTACAGGCATGAGCCACTGCACCCAGCCCATCAGGCCCTTTATAAGTACTAATTTAATTTTTCTTACTTCAGGAGATAGGTATTACCATTACCCTCATTTTGTAGATTAGACCACTACAAACAGAGGTTATGTAAGTAGTCCAACATCACACTGCTGGTCACAAGCGGGAGCCAGCATTTAAACCCATGCCCTCTGACTCCACAGTTTATATCCCTAAGCATCATATTAAGTGGACTAAGGAGAAGTTAATAGAGGGAGGGAGGGAGAACTGGGTGGTTGGGAGAGTTGCATGACTTCATGTATTTATAGTTTTTGAACCATGTAAATGTGTTACTGGTTGAAAAAATATTTAGAAAAAAATGAGTATGACTCTGCTCAAGTTAATTTCCATATGAGAGGCAGACATCTCAAGATAAGTGATAGTAGTAGCTTGTAGTGAGGGTTTACCAAAGTCTTCTCTATAGTCCTCTGAGACTTTAGGAAGAGAACGCTTATTTAACCTCATGAGACAGATTCACTGCCCCTGACCTGGGCTAAAGAGCTAGAACTTGGGGTGCTGAGGCTGGGGAGGCTGAGTGCACCAGCGCCCATGACCCACAGCTCTCCCTTTCGTAGATCCCTTCTTCAGGAGCACCCAGTCCTGGATCGCAGCCCTGGAAGGGACCCTGCCTATCTCGCTGCTGCTTCTTGCAGGAGCCAGTTACTTCTTGAGGCAACAGCAGAAGGAAAAAATTGCTCTGTCCAGGGAGACAGAAAGAGAGCGAAAGATGAGAGAAATGGGATTATGCTGCCACAAAGCAGGAAATAAGCCTAAGAGGTATCCAAAGTGAACAGAGAATCTAAGCCCCAGGCTTGCATGCCCAGCCTGAAGATCTCACCCCCATCCCCACTCTGGCACTGCATCATGTTTAAGGTTTATTTTCCCGAAACTCCCCTCACCCATAACTGTTCTTTTTTTTTTTTTTTTTTCTTTTTTTGTTTATTTTCCAGAGAAGCTCCAGGAAGAACTCAGTAATTTCCCATTCCCCAGGAGATCCAGGCATGTCTTCCTATCCCCTCCTTGAGGGCCTTGATAACTCTTCCTTCCCTGTTCATTCCGTTGCAGAGAGGAGTAAAATCTAGCACATGGCTCGTGAGTGGCTCTGACATTTTCTCTGAATTTGAATCTATGACTGTCTCTCCTCGGATATTTTCCAGCCTACAAATCTTTGTCCAGGTTTGAAAAGTGGTCCTGGATCTCTTTACTCAGGAAAAGAAAATAACTGTGGCACTTTGGAGAAACTCCCCGGAAGGAGTCTCTCTCTCTCTTCTTCTATCTTTCTCATTCTTGGAAAAAAAAAAAAAAAAAAGTCTTCAATCTCTTTGTACTAGGGGCCACAGACTTTTATGCCTTAAAAAACCCTGAGGAAATCCAGGGGTGCACTTCAAAAGGAAGAGGGAAGAGAAGGATGAGGTGCATTTTCTATGGCAGGAAACTTACTTGTTGTTTTCCATAATCTAGAGGATGTTGAAAAGAAAACAAGAATGGAAGATTTAAGAGACAAGAAAATTAGAAAAGAGAGAGGGAGAAAAGTGTGTCTAATAAAGTGGAGTAACTACAGTGGCTCAGTTGGTACAGATTTATTATAACTGCATCAAAAACTAGTCCCTGAAGTTGTTCATTAAATTTCCCAAATTCTTTTTAGAGCAAGGTAAGAAATGATACAGATTGAGAAGGATGGATCTTGTACTCCTAGACATTCGCCTATAGACATGGTGACACCTATGCCCAGGTACAGGAGTATAGACAGATTCAAAATAGATTGGCAGGACTCCATTGGGAAGGAACTCTCACAGTGACTGCCTTGCCACTAGCATCCAGCCAATGTTCCCAGACTGGATATTAAGAAGAAGAGGTGAAGAGAGAATTGAGCATGCAGAGTGAGACTGGAGGGAAGGGTGAAATGGTCAAAAAGAAATATTAGATGGATGCAAAAAGAAGCAGAAAGGGCCAACACAGAAAAGACAGAGTTCAGGTGACATCTCTACCTTTCTGTTATTGTAGGAGGAGAGACGTCTCCTCCTACATGGTGAGTGAGCCTGATGCTCTCTGAGTTTGCTGGATTATGGGCCATGAATATTTCAACCTTTTTTCTGCTGTGACCCATTAATGTTCTCAGTTGGATTAATCAGATCTAACCTGAAGACTCTATTTTGCATGTTGAGGGGGTGACTTCTGCTTTTCTGGAGCCTCTGAGAGACTGCTGACTCTGCACATGCCCAGGCAAAGCCTGGCCATGCAGCCTGCACCCCTCATGACACAGGGGGCCAAGTCTGACATTGTTTAGAAGGTGCCACCTCTTATCCATCAGAGCTGTAGAGGAGGGAAGCTGAACCCTGGAAGAGACTCTGAAGAAAAGCAGAGAAAACGTGTAGTGAAAGGAGAATGGAGTGTGGAAAAGAACAAAAATACTGACCTTTTTCTTATCTGTGTCTCCTTCCTTTCAGAATGGAAAATGGCCCTTTTCAAGCCTGGTGAGTAAATCACTGTATGTTCCCTGGACCAACAACCTGAGGGACCATATGCCTTTTTCCTCCTCCAACTCTTGTGATTTGGGGGAGAAAAGTTGCTTTGACTTCCTTCGTGGATAGGAAGACACATGAAGGGTGGAGCTGAGGAGAAGGAGACACACACTGAGTGATACTGCAGGAAGAGTGAGGATGGAAATGCCAAGGAGAGGAGGCGATGCCTGCCCAAAGAACTTTGTCCTTCCCAGGCTTCCCATGTCTCCTACTGACTGTGTCTCCTCAAAGGTTTTAATGCTTCTGAGTTTTGGACTCCACATTTTTAAATGATGTTTGCAAACTGTGTTTTGTGGAGGTTGATGTGAAGACTGAAGCAATAATAAATATGCATTGGTCAAAAACCTAGTAAGAAAGAGATGATGAGTTCAAACTGCGTGGTTGAAGAAGGTGTGTGGAAAGGAGGGTTAAGGGAAAGCAACAAGGAAAAGTGCAGTGCCCCCATGGTTCCCAACAGTGGGGAGCTGTCTCCACCCCTAGCCTGCGAGGGCTAGGAAAAGGAGGCAGTTACTGGAACCCAGAGAAAGAGATAGCTCAAAGATAGGGCTTCCTGAGAAGAATCGAATCGTCAGGCCTTGTTAGAACAGCACTAGCTGCTGCTGGCAGGGAGGAAGCAGGAAATTAAACGATGTGTCTCTCCTTTCTTTCTCCTTCCAATCTCCTATCAGGGCCTCCCGTTGGCCAAACCCAATGGCAAACCAAAGGACAGGGGAGCCCAGTGGCACTGTTCTTAAAGGACAGATTCCTGGGCCCCAGAAGAGGGTGGAGAAAGCTGAAAGGTGGAGAGTGAATCTGGGGCATCTAAGGCCCCACATATAGCCCAGCACAGAGATGGCCTTGCAGCTATTAGAACATCAGGAGCTTCCTTCATGCCCTGCTGTGGGCTGAGTAAATAACATGATTGCCGTAAACAGCGCTAGAGATTTGTATGTTTATCCCCATTTTTCAGGTGAGGAAATTCTTCAGATGAAGCTCCACCTTGTTAAATAAATTGGATATATGGAAAAATAGGACTGCAGAAAAGGGGAACACATTTAGCTCACGAGTGGTCGAGCGAAGATTGAAAATTAACCTCTGAGGGCCGGGCGTGGTAGCTCATGCCTATAATCCCAGCACTTTGTGAAGCTGAGCCGGGCAGATCACAAGGTCAGGAGATTGAGACCATCCTGGCTAACACGGTGAAACCCCTCTGTACTAAAAATACAAAAAAAAAAAATAGCTGGGCATGGTGGTGGGCACCTGTAGTACCAGCTACTTGGGAGGCTGAGACAGGAGAATGGTGTGAATCTGGGAGATGGAGCTTGCAGTGAGCCGAGATTGCACCACTGCACTCCAACTTGGGCAGCAGAGCAAGACTCTGTTTCCAAAAAAAAAAAAAAAAAAGAAAAGAAAATTAACCTCTGAGTATAAAGCATCAGTGGGCAGAACAGTGTGGGGAGGGAAACAACAAAAATGTAGAAGGAGGATCCTTGTTGCTTCTTGAGGCCGCATCAGGGTATTAGGTTAGCCAGATACTGACCTTACTTTCATTTCCCCTCTGGTCACAAGACCCCTGGGGCTTTCACCAATTACACTGATGACAGAATCACATTCAGGGCAGACTAGGGACCCCAGGTTCTGGAAGGACCTCCTCAGCATGGCCCAGGCCTTGCATGCTCAGGTTCTGAAATCCAGGAAAAATGAATGACCCCATGGACACCTCCTCAAACTCTCTGCAGCATATGTGATTCTGGATCCAGACATGGCAAACGCCATCCTTCTTGTTTCTGAGGACCAGAGGAGTGTGCAGCCTGCTGAGGAGCCCCATGACCTACCAGACGACCCTGAGAGATTTGAATGGCGTTACTGTGTGCTTGGTGTGAAAACCTCACATCAGGGAGACATTACTGGGAGGTGGAAGTGGGGGACAGAAAAGAGTGGCATATTGGGGTGTGTAGTAAGAACATGGAGAGGAAAAAAGGTTGGGTCAAAATGACACCAGAGAATGGATACTGGACCATGGGGCTGACTGATGGGAATAAGTATCAGGCTCTCACTGATCCCAGAACCAACCTGAAACTTCCTGAGCCCCTAAGAAAGTGGGGATCTTCCTGGACTATGAGACTGGAGAGATCTCATTCTACAATGCCACGGATGGATCTCATATCTACACCTTTCTGCACGCCTCTTTCTCTGAGCCTCTGTATCCTGTATTCAGAATTTTGATCTTGGAGCCCACTGCCCTGACCATTTGCCCAACACCAAAAGAAGTAGAGAGTTCCCTGGATCCTGACCTAATGCCTGATCATTCCCTGGAAACATCAGTGACTCCGGGCTTAGCTAATGAAAGTGGGGAGCATCAGGCTGAAGTAACATCTCTGCTTCTCCCTGCCCAGCCTGGAGCTGAGGGTCTCCCCCTCCACAACAACCAATCAGAACCATAAAGCTACAGGCACACACTGAAGCACTTTACTGATATTCATTCGATTATTCCATAGGACAGTTGCTTGAGTTTGGTGCCACCTTATTGTCCCCTTTATGCAAATAAGGAGACTGGGGTGTAGAAAAGTGTATTGACTTTACAAAGTAGACATGACGAGTGAACGACAGAGCTGGGATCTGAACAACAATAACTAACATTAATTGAGAACTTAAAATGTTCTGAGTGCTGTGTTATGGGCTTCGGTGAGTGTCAGTCCTTTAATCCTCACAACACCCCATTGGGTAGTCTCATTTTGCAAGTATGAAAGCTGAGGCAGGGCAACATTAAGTAACTTACATAACTCATACGGTAATTTGTGCAGTTGGGAGATGGTCAGCCTCAGTCCCTGGCTAATTGCCCATTCTTTTCCAGCCTGATTTTTCCCCCTTGGGAAGAACCTCCATGTAGCCCTGAGGTTCCCTTCCCAGGGCAGCTCCAGGATAGAGATCACTGTGGGTGGTTGTGGAGTTGACACATCTATTGACTCCTTCCCAGCTAATTGTCAGAGCCTTAGACCCAGCAGTCCTTGGAGTGGCTCTGCAGAGTGTCTTTGTTGAGAGAATAACGTTATAGTTCCCACATGGCCTGTGACTTGGAAAGAGACTAGAGGCCACACTCAATGGGGCACAGATGTGTGCCCACCCAACAAATGTGATAAGTGATCGTGCAGCCAGAGCAAGGCTTCCTACAGTCAAGATTTCTAGGCAGAACAAATACCCTAAATATCCTCTGTGATATAAGTAATTTGGATGAAGGAAGCTAGAAGAATTACAGGGATGATTTTAATCCCGCTATGGACTCAGTCTCCTGGAAAAGGATCTGTTCACTCCTGATCATTGGTGGATGTTAAACCCATATTTCTTTCAACTGATGCCTGCTAGGGAAAACTGCTCCTCATTATTATCACTATCATTGCTCACCACTCTATCCCCTCTACTTGGCAAGTGCTTGTTAAGCTCTAGTTGTTCAATAAATGTGTTAATAATGCTGACTCCTCAACTTGGCTTTTTCTAGACTATGGTGTCTACTCAGTACAGTAGAGTATTCTGCTCGCCCACTGTACTCACCACAGTCTCAGTTTACCTCACTGCAGCATTTTCACAAAATCCTTATTGGATGCATCTTCTATTGCTGCCATCTGAATTACTAGAAATTCATAGACTTAAAGCAACACAAATGTATTATCTCACTGTTCTGTAGGTGAGAAGTCCCACAGGGATCTCAACAGGCTAGAATCAAGGTGTCTGCAGGCTGGATTCCTTTCTGCAGTCTCTAAGGAAGAAACTGTTTCCTTGCTTATTCAGATTGTTGGCAGAATCAGTTCCTTTCATTTATAGGACTGAGGTCCCAGTTGTTTCCTGGTTTATAGCTAAGGGCTGTACCCACTTCTAGAGGCTGCCACACTCCGCCTCCTAGCTCCCTCCTCCATCTTCAAAGTAGCAACACTACATTGAGGCTCCTCTCCTGGTTCTTTTTCTCCATTACATTGCTCTGATTCTTTTAACTTCTCCTTTTTTTCCTTCATTTTATTTATTTATTTATTTTTGATAGGGATTTGCTCTGTCACTCAGGATGAAGTGCAGTAGCGTGATCTCGGCTCACTGCAAACTGTCCCCTGGGCTCAAGCAATCCACCTACCTCAGCTTCCCAAGTAACTGGGACCACAGCCCACATCACCATGCCTGGGTATTTTTTTTGTAGAGACAGGGTCTTGCCATGTTGCCCAGGCTAGTCTCAAACTCCTGAGCTCAAGCAGTCTGTCCACCTTGGTCTCCCAAAGTGCTGGGATTATAGGCGTGAGCCACCGCGCTCAGTACACCTTTTACTTTTAAAGACTCCTGTGATTTGACTGAGTCCACCCAGATAGTTTAGAAAATCTCTCTATTTTAAGGTCCATAATTTGAATTCTGTGTAAGATCCATTTTGCCATGTTATACATTCTATTCATAAGTTTCTTAGTGGATATAGCTCAAAGGGGTGCTGAGGGAGCACTATTCAGCTCGCCACTGAATAGTGGAAGTGATTTGGGAAGTGATCCCAGGAAACACAAGTGCAGAAATAAATTGAGAAATGAGAGAAAGCCAATTACATGAGAAATGGGATAAAGGGTTCACTCATGAGTCAGTTACCATGTGGATAACTTGGCTCAATCTCTTTTAGGACTCTCTAAGAAACCACATGAAATGTGTGATACAGCTTAGAATCTTCCTAAGGACTATGGGACCTGGGACTTTATCTCCACTTCCCATCCTCCTTTGCTTGAATTGGTTGAAGGTTGGCCTGGGAGTGTTAATTCTAATGCACTTTAAGATTGGGCTATGTAACTGCAGAAAAGCAACTATCACGGGTGTAATAAAGCTCACAGGCAAAGGAGAAGGGAGATACTCACTGGAGGTGGGAAGTTTGTCATCCTTCCAGGAAACTGTGCCTCAGCTATTGGCAAACTGTGATAGGCCAGGAGAATATGGGACAGGGCATCAACAGTGCCTGTTCTAAGGGCTCTGCCTCTGAGAATATAGTGAATGCCTTTCAAGGTCTCTCTGCCCTCCCTGCACCACATTTATTTAGCATTAGTGACCTCTTGTCTTCCAAAACATATCCATATTACACGGCCCTGCAGCCTCACCACATGGACTGGGTCTGGGATGGACATCTGACCCAGGCTAGACCAGAGGACCAAGTGACATGTGGCCAGTTACTCCTGTAGCAGATGTGCATGGGAGCTGTGGGAAGAAATGTTCCATTCATGGTGTGGACTAAAGGATGGTGGATTGCAGAGAAGACAAAAGTAGATGAGTAGAGAGAAGGCTCCAAATGGAGAGTTTAGACAATTTTATCATGTTTGTTTCTTTTAGAAGCCCAATATCATTTCTTCTCTTTGAAAAAATTTGTTCTGTTGAGACAAGGTAAATGTACTAGTTAATATTGCGACAGTTGTAAAATTTGGAAGCTTCATAAGCATTATAAAATGCTCATTGATTCTGTGAGTCAGGAAACTAGAATTTGAACAGGACAGTGTAGAAATGGATTTTCTGCATGCCAAGATGCCTGCAGATCCCCTTGGAGTACTCCATAGCTGGAGATGACATACCCATATTACTTTCAAAGATTTGAGTTTATTGCAAACCAACAGTGAATCAGTGCTCACTCTGGGTCCTGGTTCTTCCAGGATTGGCTGGTACACCATGTCCATAAAGAATCTTTCTGAAGTGACCCTTTCTGTCTCTTTTTCCCTCCCAGGACAGAGCATGATTGGGTTAGGTCATTACTATCTAACCTGGCACACCTCAGTAGAACCTGCTTTCTTCCTAAGCTACCCTATGGCTAACTGATCCTCTTCCTTCTCAGAACACACATGTTTCTCTCCTTCTCAGATCAGCTTTGGCAGAGGTTGAGGCCTGGCTTAGCTGGCACAAGCTACTTCAAAGCCCTGGGCCTTATTTCTTCAGATAAAAATGTGAAGCCAGGTCTCATCCTGGCTGGCCATGCTCTTAGACCCTTGCATCCTTCTCTTCTGTCCTTTCCCAACAGCTGCCCAGTCCCGGTTGGAATGTTCTAATACTGATGTATTTACCCTCATGAGTCACTCAACCCAGAATCCAATTTTAATTATAATCCAGAAACATCAGGTAATGAGTGAGGCTGCATGAGAATGAGACAGTTCAAGTGTCAGTTCAATAGAAAAAACAGTTCTTAGGGCTTTCTTTATCTTAGTCTCATCAAAGAGCTTTCTCTGCAGAAGGGACCTACTGGTTCCTCCTTCCTGGTCCTTGAACTTCTGACCTAGAGTGGCTTAATCATGCTGCCATCTCTCTCTCGCACTCTGGTGCCAAATTATTCCAGGAACTGGGCCATGCTGTGGTGGAAATGACCTTACCCTGAGCATGTCACTCATGCATTGAACAACAGCTGAGAGCAGAGCTTAGAGCTGGGCCCTGTAAGGAGAGAGGAATCACATCCTGCAGAAGTCTGTCCTGAGGAGCAGGTACTCCAGTCACAGCAAAACACAGTTGATACCTGTATAACAATAATAAAAAACAGGACATGGGAACAGCAAAAGATTTGGGTGTCAGAAGAGGCTGAGAACCCTTCAGGCAGGAACATCCAGAGTTGTTTTTGGAGGAAGTAGGCACGAAGGCTGGGCAGGATTTCAAGGCGTAGAGATGAAGCAAACAATTCAAGTGAAAGGCATGGCATGGGAAAGGGAGCACTGGCCACAGAGAGTGCAACATTGTGATGCAAGGCCACTGTGGAGCCATTGCTGGTGTGTTAGCTGCAAAGTTTAGAATTGAATCAGAAGGGAATTGGAGGCCTCCAGACTACGCATTTATTTATGTATATTTTATTATTTATTTATTTAGAGGCAGAGTCTCACTTCGTCACCCAGGTTGGAGTGCAGTGCATGATCTCGATTCATCCTAACCTCTGCCTCCCAGGTTCAAGCCATTCTCCTGCCTCAGCCTCCTGAGTAGTTGGGATTACAGGCATGTCCCACCACACCCAGCTAATTTTTTTTTGGTAGACACGGGGTTTCGTCATGTTGGCTATGCTGGTCTTGAACTCCTGACTTCAAGTGATCTGCCTGCCTCCCTCTCCCAAAGTGCTGGGATTATAGGTGTGAGCCACCACACCAGTTCCAGACTAGGTATTTAGACATTTGAGGGGTTATTGACAAATGGGCCTCGGGAAGATATCTATACAATGACAAGATTGGATTCTGTGGAGGAGGGATTATGTTCGTGGGGAGGAGGGTATGTGTGCTGGTGTGTGTGTGTGGTCCCTGGACCTAACCCCACCACCTACTGGCAGAAGGTCAAGACCAACTAGAAAGTCTTTGCCCACTTCCATCTTCTGCCCTCACCAGAATGCCACCTCCCCTTGGGAAAGGGTTTTTAATCCTCACTCAGTATTCTCAGCACCTCTTATCCAATATCTTTGGAATGAACAACCAGACCTTCATAACAGCCACTGCAACTGCTGTCTCCTTTCCTTTGCTACCCCTCCCACTCCAGTCATGCCTGCTTCCCCTCCAGCGTGCCAGACCCAACCTCCAAAGCCAGCGACTTGAACAAGAGTCCTCCGGCTTTGGAAAGGGGGCAGCTTATGTTTTCCTCCTCATGTTTCCTCCCCAGCAAAATCACCCTCTACATAGAGAGCCCTCTCCTTGTGGATACCAGCAAAGCCACCGACCCCTTGGGGAATCTCAAGGCTTTGTAAAAGAATGAAAGGAAGGAAGGAAGGAAGGAAGGAAGGAAAGAAAGAAAGAAAGAAAGAAAGAAAGAAAGAAAGAAAGAAAGAAAGAAAGAAAGAAGGAAAGAAAGAAGGAAGGAAGGAAAGAAAGAAGGAAGGAAGGAAAAGGAAGAAAGGAAGAGAAGAGAGAGAAAGGAAGAGAGAGGAAAGAAGGGAGGAAGGAAGAAAAAAAGAAAGAGAAAGAAAGAAGAAAGCGAGAGAAAGAAAGAATAAAGCGCGAGGGAGACATGAAAGAAGAGAAAGAAGGAAGGAAGGAAGGAGAGAGAGAGACAGAGAAAGAAAGAAAGAAAGAAAGAAAGAAAGAAAGAAAGAAAGAAAGAAAGAAAGAAAGAAAAGAAAGAAAGAAAAAGAAGAAAGAAAGAAAGAAAGAAGAAAGAAAGAAAGAAAGAAAGAAAGAAAGAAAGAAAGAAAGAAAGAAAGAAAGAAAGAAAGAAAGAAGGAAAGAAAGAAAGAACAAAGAAAAAGGAAATAGAAATACCTAATAACCCTAAAAGGTTATTTGCTGCTTGAGATTTTGGGGGGTTTTTTGTGTGTATTCTACCTAGTAACTGCTGAGAAATAAGGCTCGAGACACCATTGGCTAGTTCTGCTGCACTCGGCCAATCCTGGGCTCTAAACTGTTCAGTGGTAATCTTGGGACTTCAGGACATCCGGGCAACAGGTCCCAGATCCCGGGTCCCGCAACTCCAAACATCGCAATTAATGGGAGGTGAACAAAACTTTTCTCTTCTCTTTGGGATG